CTGTTTGCAACTAACAGCCTTTAAATGAATTTGTGAGTGAATTTTTTTGAATTTTTCAACTTATGACTAACCTCAGCATTTTTTATGACACCTCAGTTGATAATCAGTGAATACTGTGTGTTACATAAAATGATAGTTTATCATCTTTAAAATTCCCATGATGCTCTTTATCAGTGAAAGATGATCCCATAATTGAATTATCTTCACTAAGTCTTCCACACTTTATTGGTCAAGTGTGTGATGGTTTAAGTTGCTGTGTCTTCTAACATTTTTATACTCGATCATATTTAAGTGTCAAAAGTTTGTGCGCTAGTTTGTCATGCAATTATTTTCTGAGACTATGCTTCTGTAATTTGTCATGCCTACTACACATTCTCATAATATTGTTCCTAAAGGTTTGCACCTTTTACTGTTGATAGTGAACATGTTCTTTAATTATGACAAGAACAAAACTTTTCTCATGTTCTGCATGCATGTTTCTTACTCATAAACATTCAGAGAATATGCCCCAACTCTGGTATTTCAATTGTATATAAGATCTTAAAGCTAATCAGACCCACATTTGTAACAATTTGGAAAGAAAAGCTGAGGTCGGTCTTCTGTTCATCTATATATAAAGTGGTACCGTTGAGCACAAATTTGTGTGCTATGTGAATCCAATCTGAATCTATTCTGCTTTATTTAGACAATTGGGAGTCACATTTGACCAAATAGACATAACTTATATAAGCTGATTTTATTGTAATGTCAATTCTGATACCGACTAGTTCGAATGGTACCAACTAATTTGACTGATTTATTGAAATTGCTGTCAGACTAAGACTTGAATCCTTGTGCTTCATAATTTAATTTTTGTCTTCCATTGTTAGTTTAGTTTTGCTTCATTTACTATAGCTTCAAGAATCTTATGTTCTGTTTAGACAAAATTGAAAATACTACATTGCAACAAATTGTTAAAATTTGAGGCTTGTGTGGAAATGAAAAGTCTAGGTTGTTTGTGGAAACGAAAGGAATGGATCAGAAGTAAGTCGACATTGGCTGCAACAACTAAATTATTTGATGCTTATTGGCAGGTAACAGGTACCTTTCAGTCTGTTCAGGATGCATTGCTTCTAATTACTAGCAGGATTCGGGATATTATCTTCCCGTTCAAAACTTATTCAAGTGCGGGAATAGGCCAGTCGGCTCATGCAACATATGAAATGCCTTTTGTTTTGCCTACAGCAAGACATGAACTGACCCCTTCCGGAGCTAACCCCCCAGTAAGTATTTCTGATAGTGCAGATCATGCTGTTGGTTTCCACAACACTCTAGATAGGCAACATCCTGTCTCACAAAGTGTAGATCAACTTGGGGTTGATCGAGGTTCTTATGGCAATGAGACACCAAGACCTTGCCCTGCCACTGATTGTGCTGCCCCTACATTGACTCCTGAGGTAAGGCTATTTGGCTTGTGTGAAATGTACGACAGGGATAGCATTGAATCTATCTTATTCTTCAAAATAGAGACAATAATCATGTTACGTGACCCTTAACAATTTAGTGCATCTGCTACCAAACAGAGCTAATGTGATATTATTAGGTCTAAGTGTAGTGTAAATGTTGACTATAGAAAGCATGACAACCAGACCTTGTTAAACATGGTTATATTTTATTATAAGCAAAGATCCACTCCACCAATTAAATTTATATTTTTTGACCTGTTTTAACGCACCATCTGCTGTATACAATTCTGATTTGGTTATAGAAAATTGCTGCCAAAAAAAGAGCAATTCAATGCTAAAGTTTTTTAAGGGAAAAGTAGAACATGCCGTTAAATATGATATAATGCTGTCAATAATGATCTAATATTTAAAACTGCTAAGTTTTAAATTGTCATTCAACTTATAGGAGAATTGTTTATATTATAACAATCAACTTGCTTTGGCAGTTCTCAGAGAACCACAAGATTTGATGAGATAAGTAATTATTACCTCATTTTTCTTCGTTTGTAATACTTGCTTGACATATTGCTACATATTTATAAACACATGTCGTTAAGGTCTATGGACTATGGTAATCAAGGGTGATGAATTAAACTGACAACCTGTGCTTTAGTTTTAGGAGGTGAGAGAATTGATCAGATGGAGAATTTTGTAGAAATGGTCATCAGGATGTAGACGGCATCAGTTAGTTGCTTTTAAATATTTAACAGAGTCACGATTTCATTCATTATCATGTAGTATGACTTTTGGTTTTACGTTCAGATTTTTGGAAATATGAACATGCAACTAACTGTGAAAGCATGCATGTAGAGAAAATAACTTCACAAAATACAGAGACATTGGCATATAATCAATTCAGTTGACAGTGTCAACTGAATGTCTGCAGCCACATGTCCATTAAGTGTTCTAAAAGAAATGGATCTTGAAAATTCTCATTCAAGTTTTAAGAAACTCAGGCTGTGATACACTATTTTCTATAGGTAGTGAATAGTGGAAATACCAGAAGAAATCAGGATGCTGGAACAAGCTTAGATTTTGAAAGTGGGCTGATTGGAAGGTATTGTCAAGTTCTTGACTCTGGCACTCTCGTTAGACATGACTATATTTGATATTTGGATGTTGATGTGCAGTGGCAGCCAGGCCAACGTAGTAAGAAGCAAAACTGTTGAAGTTGTAGTTCCTCAGCAATATCTTGGATTTGTTTATGGTGATAATGGCAGTAACCTTGCTGACTTAAGAGAGGTATATCATATAATCATAAGGTCACCTTTCATTTTGCCTTTTAGCAATAATTGTGCAAATAAAATCATGATCACTTGTTTCTTCTGTCAATTTTCCATCTATATCATCATATCAAACAGACCTATTTGTTCCTTCAAATTTGTTATTGTGGTTTCATTTTAATCAAGAAGTTGTTACAGTAAGAAAGACACCTCCAAGAGCTTCTTGGAAGTTACATTCAATAATATATACTACGAAGGAGCACAATCTACTCAGAAAAGAAGAAGAGGAGCACTATTTATTCACAATCTCTATAGTTGTATAAATTGTGTTCCACCTGAATAGGGATATTCTATACTTTGTAGACCTTTAGACACAATCAAGCTCCCCTTTGTGTTCCCATGAAAAAGTTCGATGTCCATCAGTTTTTTGAGTTTAGGAAACTGCAGGGTGTTGAAGCTTACACCAGTTCCATTATTGACATTTGTTTTGTTACTTCAGATATCAGGGGCAAAGGTTGCAGTCCGTGATCCAAAGCCTGGGGCCACCGAAGGAGCGGTCACCATATCTGGGACCATCGAGCAGACCCGAACTGCCCAAAGTCTTCTCCATGCTTTTATCTTATGTGGGCTAGAGCACAACTGAGGTTTTTGTGGTTGGTGACTTTCTAAGTCTTGAATATTAGGAGGTTTTTGCTGTGAATCTATGCTTGCCCCATTTTGCTGGCTCAAGAGGTGTGGAATGTGGCTGTTGCTTTTTAATAGGCATCTGCTAATTTGCAGGATCCGCTTTTTGCCACTGGAAAGGTTTGCATGAAGTTGTTTATATATTTATGGATATATATTCTTTCATCAATCTCTTTGTATATGAATGTTTATATGAATTTAAGTTTCGTGATGATTGATGTAGGTGTTTATTATGATTCAATCAAATTATATGTTTTGATTAGGGGACAGTTTGAGTTATGTATGCTGCTGGCACAGCTCGCCAAGCTCAAAACTGGGAAAAATAAGTCTAGTGAAAAGACCGCAAGTGTTCATATTTTGTGAATATGAAAAGTACATTTGCAGATAGGAAAAGTAGTTCCTGGTTGTTATTTGTGATGATTGTTTTCTGCTCTTATGTTAGGCTGAAATGTAATATAATATAACAATTGGTGACTAATGGTACAGATATTTTTCTTTTATAAAAATGTTTTGAGCTATTGTGTCCATAAATGTATGCTTGAAAGAACATTTATGCCCCAATGAGCTCAATCTCGATCATCTGCCGAGATCATGTCATTATAGATGGATCATTCAATCTCGCCATTTGATTCACTCTCTCTAGTCAGTAATTTAATCTGTCTTTGCAAAATATACTGTTCTTTTTTATTTGGGGGGGTATTTATAGTGTTTTATCGATATACTTTAAACACTATAAATATTATAAATCTTTTGTTCTAATACAAGTGATTTTATTATATCATGTCTCTTTCCTTGTCATTGTTCATAAATTATTATAATATTTTATATTTTTAAGCTTATAGTTAGTTTGGTTAAGGTTAAGAGTTTATTTAGATATTTTCAAGTAGGTTTTACAATGTATTTTTTGTGATGACCAAAATTCTATAACATGTTAAAATATTGTATTAGACCAAAACAATATATTAGGAAAAAATTATTCTAGGGATAATTTAGATATTTTTTAAATTAAGGGTACTATTTAAAAAAAAAGAGTATACTATTTAGAGCCTCATTCTTACCATTTATAATTTTTAAAATATTATTTCATAATCATTCTAATTCTATTTTTTACTTTCATCTTTTTCTACTACTTTTTTCCCTCCCCATAGGCTCTACTTATGCATGTTATTATTACCGGTCTTCTTCTATCTTCTCTAATAATATAGCTATTTCTTATCTTCTTTTCTTTGATCTTCCGTTCATCCAATCCCATTTCATTTCTTTTTTCTGTCATTTTACATCAACTCCGAAGATTAAAAGGAGGAGAAGAAAAAGTAATCTTTTTTATTAAAATTATAAGTAAGGATTGAAATTTAATTTTATTAAAATTAAATTATAATATTTATTTACAAAGGGATAACTCAAAAATATTTAAAGTTGTTAATATGATATTGTAAATAATAATAATAATAAATATAAATAGTAATCTTCGAAAAAAAGTAAAATGGAGAAATATTCAAAATGTGAGTACTTTTTTTAGGGAATCGCTATATGTGACATTAATAACGTAAAGGGGTATTTATGATATTATAAGCCATGAAACTTTTTTGCCTAAATCTCCTCCCTTTATTTCACCTTCGCCTCCAACTCCCCCTCGCTCTCTCGCTTTTTCTACGGTTTCCGCTCCTCAGACCAATCGTTAGGGTTTTCCGTATCACGCGATCATCGTGTCCATGGCGGACGTCATCGACATGCCCACCGAAGCACTGGATCGTCGCCGTGATCTACAGCCGGAGCGGAGGGAAAACGCCGGCGGCGGATCTTCCTCACCGCCGCCGCCTCCGAAGAGGAAGGACAGGGACTCGAGTGAAAGGAGGGACGACTGGCCCTCGAGCCGGACGGTGGATCAGCACGACTCTAGGAATCGGTCGCCGCCGCCTCCCCCACCTCCGTTGCTTGGGCAACCGAGGGACGACAGGGATCGGGATTATCGCAGGCGGAGTAGCCCGAGCTCGCCGTCGTACCGTGACCGCCGGCACTCGCCTCCTCGCCGGTCCCCTCCTCCTGGACCCTTCAAGCGAGCTAGGAGGGATGATGGTGGATATGACCGGCGCCGAGGGGGTTATAATGATAGAAGGTGAGCAAGAAATCGTGCGGTCCTTTAATATGTGTACGAGCTCCGTTAGTGGGATTACACTCCTTGAAGTTGCTATTTATCTGCTGATAATTGCAGGCATGGCTATGATTACGGTGGTGGGTACGATCGAGATGGCTCAGGAAGCAGAGGTGGGTACGGCTATGAAAGGCCTCACGGTCGCTACATGAATCGCCAAGCAGGTAAATGTGAATGCAGCATTTCTTGCTGGCCACTTATTGACTTGAATTAACCAGAAAATTGGTCAAATATTGAGATAAAACGGAAAAAAATTGTTATTGTAAGCTCTTCCATTTACAGAGTTGTTAGTCACCAATATCAAACGCATCTGAACTGAATGAGAAAAAGTTATCCATGCAATTGGAAGTGTGATGTAGATCCCCCACCCACTACATCTGGCAACAAATGCTTAAGTAGACAAGCAAGAATCTTAGTGATCAATTTGTAGCAAATATTATCATTAATGGATCTAAATACTGAATATTTTAGAGTTTCTCAACCTTGGGCTCCAAGGCAATATAAGTTCAAGTAAATTGTGTTGTTAAGATGGATTTATCAAAAAATCATTTGACAGCACTTTGCAGAATCCCATGCAGTGGAATGATAGGTCCTCTAGAATCAGCACTCAGTCTATTAGGATCCAGGGATTTCTGAGGAGCCATAGGCCACAAAGCCTCTTTTACCTCCTGTATGGACATGGCTTTACCTATTGCTGATGGTTTGGAGACCAAAGGAAGTTAATATATAGAATGTTCGTAAAATCCTGAGTACCAGCATAAGTTCCCATACTAGTTTGAAAAGCAGTTTCTATCTAAGCCTGTTAACTGTCAACTAATGTCTCTCCACTAGTTACAGTTTCAGTTAGCTGATAGTGTATTCCTACTATCAGGTTGCTAAATCAAGCAAAAGCCTGCTTAATTGACACCTATTACAACAAATTACTCAAAACTCAAAACTGATTCTTAATTGACTTAAAAAGAATGAAAATTGAATTAAATCTAGTGACCCACTCAAACTTACATCTCAACTGATGCCAAGTACATAGACGAAGTCAAGCTGAATCATTGTATCAAATAGAAAAAAGCCCCCTTTTTTAGACTCAACTAAGGCTAGCAATTGAGTAAGTTTGACCTCTGTAGCTATCCACCCCTGACTTTGCTTCTATTGTTAACAGTCAAATTTTAGTGATGATTTTTCTCTGAATATGGTGATGAGGTTCCACTGTTGAGTTTCTTGTGCAGTGATTGTCCTACAGATTTGTTTTGGTACTATGATCAAAATGAAACCTTGTGCAGATTTCCCTTTTCATTACAATTTACAATTACCTGTGTCAGTTTTTTCTGGAAGTTACCAATAGATTCAAATACCAGGTAAATGAGAAGGGTGAAATGATATTAAACTCGGGGAGGATTCATATAAAGATGCATTCACTTTTGCAATATTTGCTAATTTGACACTAAATGATGCAGAAATGTGGTGATGTGGTTGGCTAATAAGAATAATATAATTTTCAGATTATATATCCATGGCAGCAAGTAGTTGCATCAAAAAATGACAAACTACAAGAAATATAGAGTAATAAATCTTCATTCTTTGAAATGCTTGGTTTGTTTGAGCTTTATTCTCGGGGATCAAGTTTGATTAGGATCCTTCCATATAAGTAACCATTTATACAAATTGATACATCATTTGTGAATATATATTTAAGCTTTGAATAGCCTCATTATTGTAGGATTCTTATTCTCATGTTAAACAATTGTTTGTTGTAGAATACCAATTCTGGAGTTCTTATGCTTTTCTTGTTTATAATCTTTAGATTGGCCTAATTCTGGATACAGTGGTTATGGTGATGGTCCCGAGGTTATCCCAAGGTTTGTACTTTGCTATGTGTTCTAATGAAAATATGGCTCATGTTGATTTGTTATGGTCTCTTTTACCAATTTAATAAGGTCTTTCCTTGCCATTTTTTCTCTATAAGTGTCTCTCTTTTTGGTATTTTTTAGAGAGATTTTCTAATTAGTTTTCTTATGGCATAGACACATTCTCTTTGACCTGCAATTATCATATAACATGGGACTCTTCCAAACTAGAATTTTAGCAAACTTAGATAATTGTGGCGTAATTCTTGTATGGGTATCAAGTATGCTGATATCTGACTTTCATTCCCTTAGTTCCTTGAATATATTTTTCCTTGAATATATTTTGCTAAAAGCTGATAAGAAGTTAAGAAACTTGCTGATGAATGATGCTGCCTCGGCATAGTAACTTATAGAATGCAGAGTGTTGATTGGTTTAATAAAAAACAACATTCTTGGTTCTTTGTGGTCTAGTTGTTTAAGTTGTAAGCTAGAAACTCTCTCTAATGTGCTGTGATCGGTAGATATAGGTCTTGTATAGTCATTAATATTGTAGTGCATGAAACTCAAATTCTCAGCATATTTTTGCTCTTTAAACTTGTTGTCCTACAATAATAGTTCAAGACTTTCTGTTTGGCTGTTGGGTAGTTTTAAGTTAAATTATGCAATTAAGTGCCACATATTTTACCTTTTGGCCCTTCTGTTTGCCCTGTAATATCCTTTATAGTTTTGTCTAGTATGGAACCTTTACCAAAGTTTGTAAGTTGACATTGAGATTGATAAGGAGGATAAACAAGATTGGTTGGACTGAACCAGGGAGGACAGTCATCAGAATAATTTATAATTCAGAGAAGTTGAATATGATCAAATCAGGGTATAGCCTACTCCAGACTGAAGTGGGCATAATTGTCCAGTCTGCGCCCAGGTTGGCTGTTGGACCAGTAAATACTTGATTTCTATAATATTAAAAAGATGGCTATCAGTTTAGTACAGTCAGGGAGGAGCATGTATTTGTAATCCTCATGGTTTTGGTTGTAACAACTGAAAAAAAGATTTTATGTGCATAGATTCATCTGTTTCTATATATCTTTTTGTGCGTGGTGTATGCTTCTGTTCCATTTGTTGATGAATTATACTTTAAATCTTATTAGTAGTTTGTATCATGTGTTTCTCAGGACTGTTTTCATCTGTAGTTGATTTTTGCACCTGCTGAATCTTCATAATTACTAAATGCCAACTGCAAGTATACATGCATCTCTTAGTGGAAGCATGAATCCTTTTTCTCTGGACTTCTTATGGTTCTCAAGGCATTATATATGATGCAACTATGCAAAGCTAGGCAAAGAGCAAAAACTCACTAGATATTTGATTTTTTAATTGTTTAATAACCTTATTCAGTTATTTTTGCAGGGGAGGTTTGATGTCATACAAGCAGTTCATCCAAGAACTTGAAGATGATATTTCACCTGCTGAAGCCGAGCGAAGGTACATATTTCAGATGAAAGTAGTTATCAACATAAAGAGTTTGATTTCAATAAGCATTTGTTGGTTATGTCGCCAAGCTTGTGTCTTTTGGCTGCTAAATGATCAAAGTGATTTTATAAATCTGCTAGCTGTTTAGCACTATGGATAGTATGAGCTGTCAAGCAAAGTTCTGATCATGCAGGTATGAAGAATACAGATCAGAATACATTTCAACTCAGAAGCGAGCTTATTTTGAAGCTCATAAAGAAGAGCAATGGTACATGATGCCTACAGTTTTCCAAATATTATTGTGTATCCATTTGATGTAATGTGATATATTTGAAACATTTTATACATTGCCTCATGTTTTTAACCCTGTTGTTGTAGGCTGAAAGACAAATATCATCCAACTAACTTGGTGGCAGTTATTGAAAGGTGAGTTTCCTGCAACCACATGGACATGTATGTAGCTATTGATATTGTATTTTGAGTATGACATTCAGTCTTTTGCTTGGATGATCCCTTCATTCCAATTTTCTAATGCTTAAGTCAGATAAAGGTTTTACGTTGGTCTTTTTTTCATATGGTCATGCTAGCTTGGCTTCAATGCTTTTGTGCATTGTCCTGTACAATGTTATGTCAACACTTCTGTTGCTATCGATGCCTATTGCATGACATTGTAGGAGGAAAGAACAGGCCAGGACTGTTGCAAAGGAATTCTTGCTTGATTTGCAGAGTGGTACACTTGACCTGTAAGAGTTTCATCTCAGTTCCCCTTCTCGTGCTTTCTGAAGGATTATTATGCCTTGACTTAGTTTTCTCTCATGCTTATATCATCAGTGGCCCAGGATTAACACCTTCGTTGGCTAGCAAATCTGGGAATGATAGCGAACCAAATTCTGAAGACGAGGCAGATCCTCATGGTGAAAGGAGAAGGCATGGTAGAGGAAATGCAAAAGGACATGACCTGCTTTCCGCGGCTCCAAAGTCTCACCCAGTTAGTTCTGAACCTCGGCGAATTCAAGTTGACATTGAACAAGCGCAGGCCTTGGTTCATAAGCTTGACATGGAGAAGGGTATCCAGGACAATGTCCTGTCCTATAGTGGTCATGATAAGTTGGATGCAGAGAAGTCTCATGGAGGATCCATGGGGCCAATTGTAATTATACGTGGTCCAACCACCGTCAAGGGTCTTGAAGGTGTTGAATTGTTGGATACTTTGATCACTTACCTATGGCGTGTACATGGCTTGGATTACTACGGCATGTCTGAGACGTCTGAGGCAAAGGGTCTTCGGCATGTTAGAGCTGACAACAAGACACATGATGGAACTAATGCTAGTGGTTCTAACTGGGAGAAGAAACTTGATATATTCTGGCAAGCGAGGTTGGAAGGCCAGGATCCCTTGGAAACATTGACAGCCAAAGATAAGATTGATGCTGCAGCTACTGAGGCTCTAGATCCTTTAGTGAGGAAAATACGGGATGAAAAATATGGTTGGAAGTATGGATGTGGAGCTAAGGGCTGCACAAAGCTTTTCCATGCTCCTGAGTTTGTTCATAAGCATCTCAGACTTAAACACCCGGACCTTGTGATGGAGCTTACCTCAAAGGTCCGAGAGGAGCTGTATTTTCAAAATTACATGAAGTAAGCATTCAACTCATCTTGTGACTGAAAATTAAGGACTATGTTGAGAGAATCACTAAGTCAAAGTTGTTTTTATTCTTAATGCAGTGATCCCAATGCACCTGGTGGGACTCCTGTCATGCAGCAATCTGCACCAGTAGGACTTCTATCTTTGTTGTTAAGCATACTGTTTTTCGTGCATGATTATGTTGATGTGCTATTCTTTAGTTTCATGTGTTTTTTATGTGTATTATAAACACAATACTTTTAGTGCTCTGTAGTGGTCTGTTTTAAGGTTTTAGGAGTTTGGATTAAAGAAAAAGGATGAGAAAGAGGTTTCACCTATAGAGAAATTAAAGAACACCAAAGACAAAGAAGTCTCAACTCACAATAATAATTTAGAAAACAAACAGGATGAGTATAATAAAAAATAATGATAGAAGAATGAAATGGAACAATATCATTAAAAGGCATAATGATTCGTTGCATGTGTTACTAATATATCAAAAACATAGCTATACTTTGTCAAGTACCTAATCCATCATCTATTGTTCTTAGTTTTTGTATAATTGAACATTTAGCATTTTAGTCTTTAGATTTTTGTATAATGTGAGATTAGCTATTTTTAAAATTTAGAAAAATGTTCAATCTTTGAACATTAGTATTTAAGAATATATTTTTTTCCAAATTTCTATGATTTAATAAATTCATATTTTATGGTTTTTCTGAATTTTTAGATATTGTAAATTCCAACTATTGACATTTTAACTTTTTGAATGATATGTTTTTCAGCTGTGTTTGGTTGATTTAATTATTGATTAGACGTCGTGAAACACTACATCTTATTTTACTTTTTTTAGAAATTTAATTAATTGTTTCCTTCAGAATCCAATTTTCCTGTGAATAACAGATGCTTTGAATTACTAATGGTATATGTATCAGATTATAGCGAATGTAATACATCTAGGATATTTTTTTGGTTACATGTAGGGTTTGAACTTTGAAGGTATTATATTTTTAATAATTATTAAAGTGATAGGATACTATTAATTATTTAGTATATATACTTTCATGAAGACTACTTAGAGAACTTTTAATTGCTTAATATTGACTGTATTAAACATTAGATTATGATTAATGAAAGTAACACTATAATTGGACATGATACTTATTATCATCAGTTATATCTCGTCATGATGTGTCATATGTGATACTTGTAGAATATTTCTCTGATGTGTCTCAGATAGTTTTTAAAGTATTTTTATTTTAAAAATTAATTAATAAAAATATATAATACTTCTAATTATTTCTAAGATACAGTTTGGATATTTTTAGTTAATATTGTTTGTAAACATTAAATTATAGTAACTTTGTGTTTCATAACCTTTTATGGTTTTGTCTCTATTCTTGAAGTACTATGTTACTGAAAATGAACTCTCATCTTTGAAGCACCAACACGTGCTTTTGATGGACGTATCTGTTTTTGACATGTGTTGGACACAGATACGTCATCAACACAGCTGAACATGTGTTTGACACGTTTCTAGTTGTGTCTTTTTTATTTATTTTCATTTTTATTTGTGGGACACAACACCACTCTCGCTTTGCTTTCACGCACTTCGTCGCGTGACCCTCATGTGCGGCGCTGCACTTGCGTGACCCTTACGTGAGGGCCATTCACTTCGGACTCTGTTGAATTTATAAAATTCAAGTATTATTATTTGATGTACTCAACCTTTATTTTGGATACTTAGATTTAGATGATTTTAATTGTTTCAACCTGTGTGATGATATTTATTTGTTTACATTGTCGAGTTTATAAAATTTGAGTATAAATACTATAAAACTCATGTTAATCGAATATATATATATATATATATATATATATATATATGTATATATATGTACATGTATATATATGTACATATATATATATATATGTACATGTATATATATCTTGCAAAATGTAAGTGATGAAGGCGGTTTATGATCCTTCTCTTTACCAGCCAAACTAGCCAATGCATTTTACAAGTGAATATTTGATATTATTATATAAATATTTTTTATTGTCATATTATATGTTGTATATTGTATGGTTTGTCATATCAAATTGGTACTCATATTTGTATTTGTGCTCTACAAAATCTTTCAATTACTATTATAAGCTTGAAATTGTAGAGGCACATTAGAAACTAAGGATTGTAGACAAAGTGTGGTTAAGACTTTTTTTATAAGTTGTAACTTTAGGAGAACCAACAGGAGGATTGAAGGTAATATGGGTGCAAAGTTCCAGAAAAAAAAACAGTAATTTTACATATCTTGGATCCATTATTATTAGGAAGGGAGATTGATGAAGATATTGTTAATGAGGTTAATGCATTACCTCACAGATCAAAACAAAATTCTTAATAGACTGCTATAAAGCTAGCTGCGCTTTATGGATTATGATATTAGGTATTTGATAACATACATAGTGATAGAAATAGTTGGTCAATCAGACGTAGCATAATGTAGGTGAGTGGAAATGATAGAATAAGAAATATCTATTGTAGTGAACAATTAGGGATAAGTTTCAACTGATGAAAAAGTAAAAAGGAAAGTTGTTTTAAGTTGTATGGATATTATCTGAAGGAGACCTTTGCCAATCAGTTGAGGTGATTCATTTAGGATTATTTTTGCAAGGAGAACTTGAGGACTTTTTGATGACTCTTTGTTTCACTAGTGATATAGCCTTGTAAAAAGTAATATCCATGTGGCCAACCTCAAATCATTATCTCATGGTTCATCAATGTTGCATTGTACATTTGAAGCTGATTATTTGATATTTGATCAGATGATAATAATTATATACTTTTGTGATATTTAATTTTTCTTCTTTTAAATGCTTCCAATTGTGTTTTCATTTGGTAATTCTATAGCATGATCTATGTTAATTTTGCATGATATCTCATATAATATGTTGATAATTATGTCATTTCTTTAGTTTTTTAACCTTGTTATAACATTATATTTTTTGCTAGTGTTAGTTTTATACTTTTTTTATTTATTTGGAAAGCTTCCCCTCTTTTATTTCTTTACACCAATCCACTTTAGTAGCTGCAGGGATCCAATATTGTAATGACATTCATATTTAAGAAGGGTGCCCGGACCCCACAAGTGATAATTATTCAATCCTATGTGGACAGATCTGATATGCACATTTTAGGTCTTGATGATTAACTTAGAAATATTAGAGTTGAATATTAATCATAAAATCACAATAGGAAGGAGTCTGCATTAGATCCTTATAAAGGACCAACTTATTTGTGAACTGTGAAATTGGAAAAGCTTCAATTTTCTTTACATTTCATCTCCCTCCATAGCCACCCCCCAGCCACCTCCCCCTGCTCCGAGCCACACATTTTTGGTGGGTCAGTGATTTATGACACAATGATCTGCTGTTCCCACTTTGTGGTGGCCAATGCTTTATGATTCCAGTTGCAGTTGGTCTCTTCTTGTTTGTCCCCTTCTCTTTCTTTGATGGTGACGTAGCTGTTCCTCCTGCTACTCTTCACATGGATTCACGATTTCTGACCACTTCTTTAGTGGATCGGGTGATCCCCATAGATCCAAACTGTCATAGTGTCCAGGATAGGCGATATGAACTGTCGATAGGCTGTTTCAGGACTGGGATAGTCTGAAACTATGATTTGTTCTTTAGGTTGCATATGCTTAATTTTGTTTACAGTTATTATAGGGCTCTATAATTTTTTGTATGTATCTTGCAATTCTTTTGTTTGGTCTGTACAAGATAATGCTTAAATGTCTTGAAATAAAAATGTGTACAACAGGCTTGGTAACTACTTGTAGAAATAAAAAATAGATAAATAAAAAGAATGCTTAAAAATGTGTGATAGTCTTTAAGAGCTTCAATGGGAGATGATATATATCCAATGTGTTGTGGAAAAGATGAAATTTTACTACATGAGGAAGGCCAGGGACATGAAATGTTTGACATTAATTTGATTCTGTTTCATTTTTTATTCGGCCAATTTTAACTCCAACTTCTAATTTTTTTCCTTTCTCGCCAAATTACAGCCTCAATGATGTGACAGGATTCTTATATGCTTATTTCTTAGATTGTGTTGTGCAACAATATTTTGCTACTTATTTATATTTGTAGAAATGTTGCATGCTTATATATGCATGTTGACTTTCAAATTTGTGATCGTGTGATTGCATTTATTATCTTATTTATTACACTTTGCACTTATATGCAGAAGGTGAAATCCCAAAGGCGGGGGCCACCATTAGGTAATCGCCTGAGAGATGAACGTGGCTACAGGAGAGAGTCTGACAGGAATGATAGAGATGATAACAGGCATGATAAGACTGACAATTCACCTCGTGATGCCAATGATGGCTTAGAAGGGGACGATAATGAGAAGCCTCTTCATGAAGCTTATGGTGGACAAGGCTTGCATGGTGCTTTTCCTTCAGATGTGCCTCCTCCTCCAGTGTTAATGCCCGTTCCTGGTGCTGGGTCAGTCGGTTGTTCCCATAGTCCTATTTGAACTATTTTCTCTGTTTGATATTTGTCTAACTATACATTTTTTTTTTATAGACCACTAGGACCTTTTGTCCCTGCCCCGCCGGACGTTGCAATGCGCATGCTGAGGGAGACCGGTGGACCATCATCATATGAAGCTACTGCTGGTTCTCGTGGTAGAACAGGAAGGCTTGGTCCGCAAGTGAGTGGTCCTGCACCAATTCTTTCTATGCCTCCGGCATTTCGACATGATCCTCGTCGCATAAGAAGGTCAGTGCCATTGTTCTGCTCACCTGCAAAAATGTTTTATGTTTTTTCTTGATTTAACTCCTGATGGGGAAAAGTTTTTTGTTTACATTTAGTTTCTGCTGAATTTTTGCACTTATTATCAGGGTTCATGTGTCACAGTTACCAAGACTTTGTTCGTTAACATAAGACTTTGTTCGTTAGCTCTTATACTTGTGAATGCATATTTAGCTGATCTTTGTTTCTTTACAGTTACCAAGATCTCGATGCTCCAGATGACGAAGTGACTGTTATAGACTACAGGAGTTTATAGGCTCCTAATTTCCTCCTCATCCTTTGGAATGATATTTAGTCTGTGACCCAAGATGGAACAGGAAGGCACACCTGCTGTCCACCAGCAGATGACTTCATCCTCAAATAGCTACTCACAGTTTTGCAATATAGTCGAAACTCGATAAGATCAATTTCTAATGTTTTACTTGTGAGAAGGGATGATGTTAATAGAAACATTTTGGACGATTTATGTAACTGTATGCCTAACTGCGATGCAAGACGCACGTACAGCATTCTGTCTGCATTTGCAAACTTAGCTTCGTTGGATCAAATCATAACCAAATGTGCCGTGTAGACTTTGGATGTCAAGTTTGTTGTAGTTTTGGGTTTTTGTCTTTGTCAAGTCCTTGCGCGAGCCAGTAGGTATCTTGAAGGTGAATCGTAAAGGTTTGATATATGTGCTCTTGTCCTCTATAAAGTCGCAGAAAATTTGGCTTAGATTACATTAATTCCAGGAGATTGCCATGTAACGTCATGTATTGGTGCTTTTGACACTTGGGACTCGAGGTTCTTCAACATGGAAGTGCCTGAAGGCGAAATAAAACTATCATTTTTTTTCTCTGCATGACATACGATTAGGCAAATACTGTAAGTGAGACAGAGTTATTTGTTATTACATTTCTTATTCAATCATCAGCTCTAATTCAAGTATGTTGCCTCAATAGTATAGAAATAGATCATTATATTATCGAAGGCCATAGTCTTGACTGCTAAATATAAAAAGAAATTTTTTATAGTCGATAAATGTTGCACCATCATAGCATGGTTATTAGCTCAGTAGTTGAATCAAAGATTTAAATCTCAATTTGATAATCGATCAGGGCAGAAAAGATGCATATTGTTTGATATAGGAATGTATATACTTCATTATTTGATTTGAAATCAATGATATTATTCCTAGTTCCTAAGTGGTACTCAGCAAATGAAGTATGAATTGAGGATAATTCCAGAGCACAATTGAATGACATGGTTTTCTTATGAGGCAGTTGCCTCCTTTTAAGACACAGTAAAAACACACACAAAGAAAGAAAAACAACTCTCAGACTTGCACTATAACCCCTTATATGATGAACACATGTAGAAGGTATTTGCAAATCAAGATATGTACCCTATCAACTTGCTCAACTTGATAGTATTTAATCTTTAAACCAACAACACATTGCAGAGATGAAAGCCCAGTAGCAGAAATTCCAACAACAGAAATTAGCTCTTTGCTGCTCTGATAGTTTCATTCCTCATGCAGCTAACAGAAACATGAGTATGCAAGATGATTCTTCTTGGAAACATAAGTTGAGATGAAATTGGACGAAGCAATAGGAGAGGAGCTGGGAACTTGCGATGGGACAAGTATTTGGGTCCGACCCGAAGCTATTCGCTTGCCAGCTACGTTTCCATAGAATAGGCCAGCAATGGCAGGCACAAAGACATCACTTTTGGAGCAGATTTGGAAGTCGAGAGCTCTCTGTAGTTCTGCACCTCCTGACTGGAGAAAGTGAGCTTTCTTTTCTGCAGGTACTAAATCATCCTGCAACAGATTTAGTTCTAATAAGTGAACTTCAAATTGGTGGCAGAATATACATTTATGCTTCTTGGCGAGCAAAACAGAATTGGACATGTTTGGCTGATGAGTTCTGCTACCATGTATGTCTGAGATGCATGATAAGAATACATGCAAAACAAATTTTTACCTACCAAAATAATTAGTTGTAAATGTCAAGTATGATGCACTGAGAGTTATATGGAAATCTCAAAAGCACACAAATCTTAGAAAAAAAGTATTAGCTAAATGCTCATGGAGAAACAAAATTAATTTCATAATTATTTAGCAAAATTCTGGTGCAGTCAAACTTATGTATCACCCATAAGTTTGGTGCTTCTGACAATTTTTTATTGTAAACAAAGGTTTCTGCAACTAGCACGACTCACCTTAGTATAAGTTTTTGGAAACATCTCCTTCAAAGGGTTCAGGCTTTCATGCCACCAAGTCTGGGTTAGGTAAATTGTGTGATCTGAATTGAACCCGACCTTTTTTAGAAAGTCTCTGATTTCCATGGGAGTGTAACAAGGTTTTTTTCCATTGCCTTTTTCTTTGCAGCCCTTTTTCTCCAGCACATCAACCCTAAGATCAACTGCAATAAACTGGCTTCCTGAATTGCGACTCAGAATTTTCAGTCTCTCAATCATCCTGTCAGACACTTCCAAAATTTCCTGCTTCATTTCAAGACTTCCAAACATCGCTAAGCATGCAGTTGAATCCAAGTCAGTATTAGGTTTTCCCTTTGCCTTTAAATTGATTGAAGGGAAGAAACTCGCAAGTCTCAGGTAACTTTTTGTTTGGAAGATTGGTTCGATATTGTTTATAATAAAGTCCTTAGCTACCCTATTGGGGACCCTGACAACAGCAGGATTTTCAGCAGTTACTTCAGAAGGAAGCTCTTTGACAACCTTCACAACACCAATCAAGCTTGTAGTGAATTTATCAGCATCATACAAATCCTCAAAATTCCTGCAGGCATCTGAAATGTTTTAGTTGCAGAAGATAAATGTAAAGCTACAAAAGAACAGTAACAAGAGGGAAAGCAAAATCTCAAGTATCTCATATATTTGGAGAAATAGAAAGAAGCTCTGATGATACTCACCATCTGATCAATGTTAACTATACATTTCCATCATTACAAGAATATGCATAACTACTTTTGTTGTTTATGTTGGTGTCCACATAGAAGAAGAACAAGAAACACCATAATCGTGATACTAACATTCTGATTCATGATCACAGATACAGTCACAAGGATGACTGGCTATTTGATTCTAAAAGAAAAATGAGGATGAGGACCAGCTGTTCTGTTAAGAGTTAAGGAGTTAAGATTCAACAATGATGGCAGACTATGATCAAAATCAGAAGTTTACCTTTTCTGACCAAGCTCACTTCCTCTGATGTCAGGAAGCAGTAGAATGGCACCTAAATACCTTGCAATGACCACCGCATCTGTGACCTGAATGATGAAATTGATTAAAGGTTAATGAAACTAAATATTTGCTCGTGTATGCTGATTTAGTTTCACCTACTATTTGGACAAAGAAAAAGAGGACCAAATAACAAAACCATCAACATTAATGTAGGATGAATTTAAGATAACAGAGTTAAAAAACAAAAAAAAGTAAAAAGGGAGCATTGTTCCATGGTAAACGATTAGGGTTAAGTCTTGTTCTAGTTCAAGCATATGAAGTTTTGGGTGAAACTAGAAATTATTACAAGCTAAATAATACATAAAAATAAAGGAAGTTGGCTAACAAACTTCGATCTGAATATTTATCTGGAAGAATGCCATCAGAGCAACAGCTTGACATTAAAATTAAGTTGTCAGTCATAATTACAATTCATAGCTAAATCAACCAAAAGACCTACACAATAAAGGTTATCATACCTGTGAGACATGGTGCTCAGGACCACCTGTTAAGGAGAATGTAATGAAACCTTTTGACTGCTCCGTCTCTTCTAAAGATGCAAGTCCACAGGGAAATGATAACCGAAATAGGAAGATCCACAATCAATAAAGAGGACTGGAGTTCCATTTGGCATAGCTTTATAATAGAATCTCAATACATTCTATTACTTACTTGGAACTGGTTTTGCCCAACAAGGTTTAAGCTCTAGGCTGCTCTCCTTAGAAACTTGGGTAGCAGACTTGTCTTTTGACTTCAGAGCATCAAATTGTACTCCTGATGTTTCTTGAAGACTCACCTAAAGACGTACAACAAAAGAATAAGAAAGAAAGAGAGTTGTAAAAACAGAAAGAAATACTTTATAAAAACAGAAAGAAAGATTTACAACAAATTAGTACAACACATACCTAAAGAGCATAAAACAAATTGCTGACAATAAAATAGGGGAAACACAATTTCATCATGTTCAGGATTCAAAAGTGATTTTCATGTTTGAGGGCATTAGTATGTTCATTGTTTGCAGCCAGTTCAACACAATGGGCCACACTAATATCAGATGTATGGATCATATAAACAAGCATTTCCTTTAAACTGTAATATGAGCTGCTGCATTTGGAAGGCAATGAAATACACCTATTTTTCTCCCTAACCATCATCAATTAGTGTTGCCTAAATCATATCAAAGCTAGTCCAATCATATCCAGATGCTTATCTACCATGACTAACAGGGAATCTAGTCTATGGAATGATGATATCAGGAAAAAGTTGAGTTTTGGAGTATATAGAGGTAAAAACAAAAGAGAAATGAGCAAGGCAGATTGGTCATGTCCAATGATGGACGAGAAGACATGTCTCTGATATATAATAAACATAAAGTTCTATGAATCAGACAATATGATATTAAAATATTCACCACCACTAGTTTGGTGGACAATGAACATTTGTCCAGGCATGCATTAAGCTTTGTTGCACACACTCCATGACCAGGATAGGAACTCTCATTTACATTTTTCTTTAGCCAGTAAGTAGGTCAGAACTAAGTTGACAGATTTTAAAACAAAAAATGATGTAAATATCTAAATCTGCCATCCATGCATGCCAAGAAACACATGAATCGGATCAAGGGAAAAGAAGAAGAAGAAAACACCAAAATAAACTGATTGGCATACAAAGAAAGTCAATCCAATTGTCTATTTTAATGCACATTCATGCATGCCATTAAACATTGTAAAGTATGGTTTCATCTTGTTCAGAAAAACCAATATGCACTCAAACAATCAGTGTGTCGAATGTCTACTCAACATAACGGCTGAATGCTATCATGAGATGCAAGGATCAGCAAAGGCATGCATGTCCTATAGACAGCAGTGCTACACCCTGAAAAAATGGAAGTTTAATGGGATCCAAACACATTTCTCACCGATATACAATTTCGCATTGACTAAATTACTTCAAAGTCAGTGCAGCGCAACAAATAAGCAAGAAAGGAATTTTGTCCATGCCATGATGATGTCAATTAAAGTTAACTATTGGATTCTGTAGAGGATATAATGAAAGAGAAACAACCATGATGGCTTCATCAGGTTCAATGCGGATCAAGAAGGCATATTTACTCAAAATCAAATTCTGATAACAGTAAATTAGTTCGATCAGCATATTTATTGCCAGCCAAGTTGGAATCACAGCCGTCAAAGTGTTTGTTTCAGTACACACGAAGACATGCCTATAACAGAGAGACATGTTCACTGTCCTGTTAACCAGTCAGCATCGATACAAAAAACTACGACTTTGTACACAAGATATTGATGATCCAGTAAGTAAGAGAGAGAGAGAGAGAGAGAGAGAGAGAGAGAGAGTTGCATTGATTACCTTGACGGAATCGAAGTGGTCTCTTTTGATCATGTTGCCGAGCATAGCGAACATTGCAATGGTGAGGAATCCGGCGACCAACTGCCTGGGATCCACCGCCATTGGGCTCCCAGAACCCGCAGAAACAGAAAGCGAGATGGGGGGCAAACCGGAGGCTACTGCAACAGATGGTAATTTGAGATCCGCGAAGCAATGCGATCAATATAAGGAGAGGAAGCAACAGAGAGAGAGAGAGAGAGAGTCTCGTCGGTTCTGCTCAGATCCGGCCAAGGGCGGACGGCTCGAGCATAAAAAAGGAGGAGAAGAAGCTCGAATGACCGGGCGAAGGGAGTCGGCGAGAGAGAGGAGTTTTGGTAGCTCGTCCTGCCGACACTCGAGCAGTTAAAAGAGAGAGAGAGAAAGCGAGCGAGCTTGGAAGCCACCGCGTGGTGTATTTGTCGCTTTGTTTCACTAAATAAAATTTTAATTTTAATTTAATTTTCATTAAAAAAATAAAATTAAAATTCACTAATTTTTGTATTTGTCGAAATTCAAAATATGATTTATAAAAAATAAAATTTGATTATTAATTGAAACTCCCGATGGAAGGGGACTGCTTAACTTGCATTGCCTAATTTGGGAGAGATGTGGGTAGGGGTTGGTTTCCCTTTGATTCCATGGCCCAAAGTGGGAAGGTTTGCTTGCTTGGGGGTGACTCGAAAGTGGGACCCGTTGGTGGGGAAACACATCGATCCGAAGCACGAGCTGTGCACGTGAGAGTGGCTCGATATAACAGCGATCCGATCCGTATATAATAACTATTATCTCCAAAACCCTAAAATGTAATTAATCTGCTTTAGCTACAAAAAAATAACTATTAGTTGATACTACTTTACTTTATATTTTTTATACTTCTTTATCTTAAAGGATTAACTAAAATTTATGATAGTGAATATATTATTTCCAAAGTTGATAGTTGACAAGGATGCATATGTAAAATCCTCAACCTTATCACTAGCTAATATATTAGGGATGAAACTGTACAGAGATTGCTCAAGTTTGACTGTGATATTGTCCCCTCAATCTCTCTGAGCCATTCCATTCAAAGCCAAACTTTGCTGTCAAATGATCTCAATTTCTTGGTTGTATCAGAGGTTTAATCTGTTGCTGATGTTTCGGTCAAAAGAAGGCTTTATGACGACGACTTTTATGGCTTCTATCTAATCTTTAGTGGGGTAATGCCTATGGTATTCCATCCTATTTTTATTGCTGCTGCTTCTCTTCTACCTCCAGCTTGTCTTCGAGTTCTTCCATTCAGGCTTTCTTTAGCTTCAAAAGAATTGATATCAGACAAATATATGCAAACAATATATCTGACTGATAGCTATGGTACACCAGATGTATGAAAGTTGTGCATTGAGGAGGACAAAAGTGATGCAATGATGCAGACATTCCTCCGGCTTCCTGTTGGGCCACTCAATATAATCAGTGTTTCTTCTTGGAACTTTCTCCCACAACCCCAATTAGTCATTCGAGCTTTATATTCTCATGGAACATGTGATCCACCGACTCTAGGCCTAATGATTACACACCAACATAAGACAGAACATCTAGTGCTTCACAATGGTCCATTGGTATTATTGGATCTCCATATCTACATCGTGAACTATCAGTCGTATCATCTAATGTCACTCGAGGAACAGGAGTTCAGCTAAATGTTCCTAGCTAGGTGTTTTGGTGATGACAATACTCTTTTTTTCCTTGTCTTGTTGTCTTCTCTCCTTGTACTGCGACCATTAAGTTAGATTTTGCTATCCATTAATCAGCCTTTTAGGTTTTTATGGAAGACACCCTACCCTGTTGCATAAACTTAACTTGGCAAAGAACTTACAGCCAGCCTCTGGGATTTGACCGAGAATAGTGATTATAGTTGCATTCTATAGCCGAGAATTTATTGATTCGAAAATGCACAGATGACATATCTATGGGTTCATTAATAAAGGAAAGAAAATATTCTATACTTCAAGGTTCATGAAATCCAAAGGAAAAGAAAAGGAGAACTTGCACAATGGCCTTTGGATTTCAGTTTGAGAAAAGCATATGAGCAAAGTTCTTGCCGTAGCTTTGTTCATTCTCTACTGTTTCAATCCTAACAAATTTGTGACTGTAGGGAGCAATTGGTGATAGCCTCATCGAAGCAATTTGTGGTTCCACACCCAGAAACGCATAGGTAAATCCTTGATGTGCAGTGCAGTGTATTATCATGTCATTATCTAATCGGTACATTGTCTTAGTAAGTTGGTTGCAATGTCACTTGTGTTCTTATCAGAGCAGCAAGAACCTGCCATGAAAATGGTGTAACAGGGGTCGCGGTGGCCCTCAGCTTCCTGCATCCTCGTGACTCTTAGTTGCCAGCGACTCTTTTATCTCTTTATAAAACAAGAACAAATGGATTTCACAAGCGCATTTTGATATGCTGTGTCTGTAGATGCGCATTGTGATATGATCATATCTTGAGGCAATTGGGATTCGGCATGTAGATCCCCCAGTAGGTCAAATATGTCGATATCTTGTGGTGAAGAACAAGAACTTTCATGAAACGAGAACATAGCAAAACATACTTCAGCGGAGTTGCATTCTACAAGCATAAAAAGTAAGACCATTTTGGTACGTTGATCGACCTAAGACTATGGCTTAGGATGACGCTTGGGGAGTGGAGGAGGATGAGTAGCCACTAGACTGTAATCCGCGTTGTAGATGTGGCCTTCCTCTTCCTCATCTCCGTGCTTTTGTTCCTTCATCCTCTGAATCACCTGCACCAAACGGAGGAGTTATTATCTCTAATCAGTAGTTTTTGGAGGAGAGTAATTGACTAACCTCGGTGTTTGCTGCCGAGAGACCTGACTCCTTCAGTAGCTTCCTGCCTGGACTCTGCTCTTCAGAGGCAGACATATCTACCGGTGCCTCGCGAGGGAGATGAAGAGCCAACACGAGAACACAGAAAACCAACGCACAGAGCTGCTTGTTCATGGTGGTGTGTCTTAGTTCAGCAAGCTCTCTCTGGGTAATATAACATATGAAGGGAAAAAGAAGATATGGCATCAATAATTGAAGCGGCAGGAAGAGAACATGAACATGGTGGTTGCCATGCCTTGGACACTGTTGTATCCAGGAAGGGAGGCAGCAAAAGCGGCACCAAACTGACCTTTACGACTTCCTTCTGTAACATTCCTTGACCTCTTTCTCATATTTTCTCTCTGCTGGTGGAAAAGTTGATGGGCAGGACAGAGGAGAGGATAACATTCGCCCATCTCCACATCGACTACATCACAGTATCTTCCTGTGCAGCGTGAACAAGGGTTACTCCATCGCAACTTGAACTCATGAGGTTAAATTATACAAGTAGGAAAATAGCATGTCTTTCCTTTCACCTGGACTGCTCATTTGAGAGACGAAACTTGCCTGCAGTATGTCTAACACTAGGATTAGCCGTGTAGTGTGGTTTGTGTGTGTGTGTGTAGGTGGTGAAGTTGATGCCTCTCTCTCCATTTTAATTTGCTGGCAGGTGCCATTATTAACGTGAGTGCTGGAGAAACGAACAAGAATGGTCACGGAGGATGCTCAGCCATGCTTGTCTTTAGCCATGCACTTGAGGGAAGCCTTTGCCAATGGTCAAAGCCTGCTTATTTTTAAGCAGAGTGGTCTAAAGAACCATTTGCTTTTTCTCAGGGAAGAGTGTTCTAAAAAAAGTGTGGCCTGTCTACTCCTTTACAGTTCATTTGATGCTCACATACTCCATTTCTTCGTTCACGTTTGCTGGGCATGCGGTTCTAAGGTATGATGACTGTTCATATTGGCTGCCATTCTTCTTTGCATTTCTGGCTTCCACTCGTCTCGGATGCCTCTCTTCCCATGTTTGTAGGCTGACCACCTTAATCCGCTCAGTAAAGCAGTAAAAACTAGGTTCTGGAAAGGTGACAGTGCTCGTCCTTAACGCTGCTCTCCACCCGCTGATATCTCTCTCTTTCCTCTCCTTTTTCTTGGGATAGCAGAACGAAAGCAAGTCAGATTTGAAGGGAAGCTCGAAGCTTAGTTCTGGTTTGCAACATGCAGTCAAAAGTCTGGCTGGTCCTTTCTTGATGCAGAAGTTTTAATCGGTGATTAATTTGTTGCGCCCTGAGCGTTTGTTCCTGCTGCCTCAAACAGGCGGGCCATGGTTCCATCATTTCATGGAGAGAGAGAGCGCGCGTGGTTTGAATGTTAGTTCTGGGATCTAAATTGGGATCTGAGAGCTTCCTTGGCTACAGTCTCTGGATTCTTGATCAAAGGAGTGAAGAAGAAAGAGAAAGAAGAAGAAGAAGAAGAAGACATTGAAAGGGATGCTTCACTCACCTCCATAGCCCCACAAAAGCCTGAAGAAGCCACCCTACCCTAATGAGTTGCAGAGATAATTGGCTTGGGGGGGAAGGGGATGGGGGGTAGTGGCTGCTGTCTCACGTGCTCGCTGTCGTTCTTTCGGTGCCCACTTTAGCCTGTCAAAAGGAAACAAATATTTGTCACAGAAGCTATAATGGTTTTCTGAGCGTTGCATCATTTCAGTCAGAATGGCAATTACTTCAAACACCAACTCCATGACACCCCTGTAGAACATTATTAGTTTAGATGGTATGTGACTCTGTCGTAGTATCAAGTTAGTTAAGTTAGTATTCTTGTCTGATGAAACCAAAGAATTGCTAATATAGTAAGCTGATGCTTTTGCTTTTTAGAGATCGGGAAAGCTGATGGCCTGTGCAAATCAAGGTTGGATCATCTTTGTACCAACTACTTCATGCAAATAAAGGATAAATTTTCCATCTAAAATGATCACTGCAAATCGAGCATTCAAGATTAAAGTTTCACGGCAACATTCAAAAGGAGAAACAGAAGAATGTTAGAATAATTAATGTACAATATTCAACATTCTTTGACTCGCAAGATTTAATAGCTGAAGAAGGAGAAGAAAGACGAAAGATTTCTCGTCTGATGAGCTTTCTTCACTTGTTATGCAATCTGTTCGAGCCGGTGGGCACAACTCGCTTGTCGTCCTCGACCACGCTATCCTTCTTCTCCGACCGGGCGTGATATCCGCAGCTTCCAATCTTCTCCGACTTGCACCCGCTGAGGCCGACCGTGACGACGCCAACCGATGACTCCTTCGATGATCTCTTCTCCTCTTCCCAGTGGTATCTTTGCTTCCCGCTGACTCGTCGAGCGAAACCATGCAAGCCGACACCGGCGACGACTAGAATTAGGCATGCAACGAAGGATGCGTGAGCTCGTCTCCTCCTCATGGCCTACTGGAATACCTTCGGTAGCAGATGCTTCACGAACTCCTGCAGCAGTTGGAGGAGATGAGGGAATCTGAGCCAAAGGGGAGTGAAAGACGGCACAATAACTAGATTTCCTCCGATGAGTCGTGTTGTGATACGTCGACATCCCTCGATCGGTGACTCCACCAAACCGCATTAATGGTTCTTCAATTCTCTTGCAGGCGACCAACGTAACAGAGACACAGAACGAGAGTGTAGCATTACTTATTGCTTTGAGGAAAACATGGAAGAGGTTCATAGCCTTCAATCCATAACTCTTTCTCTATCTCTTGTCGCAAATATCTAATTAACTAAAATATATTATATATTTAATTAGATTTTTAATTAAAAAATTCAATTATAGTAAAACATTTTAGAATATAAATTTGAGACTAAATACTAGTTATCGAGATTATAGATCTATTCGTCCCTAATCCATTTTAACTATATATTCCCGGTCTCTCTTTTCGCTTAGCTAATCAATATATATATAAATTTATCATCTGTTTAAGCTTTCGAGTTGAATTAGTTTATAACATTATACATGTTAATGCAGAGTTATTTTTGTCATGGATTGCAAAATCTATGGCTAGATTGACAATCAAGGTTCTTATCTGTTACCACCCTAAAAGGTATTTAAAATCTTTGTCTTGTATTGCTAATGGTTGATGATCTAGTGATATATATTGGGTTTGATCTACACTCTAATAAATTTAAGATTCAGAACAAACTAAAATATTGAGTTACAAGGTTACTTTTTGAATTTAATTATATCAAATATTATATATCTTAGTTCTAAAATAAGATAATATCTATAAGATAGCTCGAAAAAGAAAAACTATTTTAGCTACCAAAGGTATAAGCTACATGGAAGACTGCTATGATCCAATCCATGGAGGACGAGTAAGAGTGAAGTGATGTGATATATTACTGTCTAAAATACACACAACTGGCTTTATTCATCGTTCCTAGGAACATGGGCATCATCATGGTCACAGAACAAGTGCTTCTAGCTCGCATTGCACTCACGAGGCAGTCCCTGTGGAAACCTCTTCGGATCAGTGCAGTAGTTATAGATCATGTAGTTCTTCTGAACCCAATTCAACCTGTTCATGGCATTCGAGTCCAGCTCCTGCCACATCCACGAGTTGCTGCCCATGGCGCAGGAGGAGGCCCCGGAGTTCCAGACACAGCCATTGGCGGTGTAGTTCCTGTAGGACGCGGTGAATGGCGCCTTGGACCAGTCCGTCTTCACCAGCCCACCTCTGGTGGCCCAGTCGTCGGCGTCCCACAGGCTCGCGTAGGCCCTCATCGCTTGGCTCTTCGGGTACGGCACGCCGGCGGACTCTCTGTTCCTGAACTCTCTTATGGGTGTGCCGTCCACAGAGAAGCTGAAGCGTTGGGAGCAACAGAAACCTCATAGAACATGAAGAGACGACGCAAGAAACTAAAGAAACGTTCTTGTCAGTGTAGCTTCACTCACACAATATGCCTAGGATTCCATAGGACAGAGTAGGTGTGGAAGTCCATGGTGGGATCAAACCAGAGGTAGAACTGCTGCTCTCTGTCCCCCTTCCCCTGGGTATACAAATTGGTGTGGACAACGTAAGGGTCTCCGCTGAGGTTCCCCAGGAACTCAAAGTCGATCTCGTCGTGTGTGTTTCCTTGCGAAGATAACTGCAACACGAGGCTAAGGATTCAGTGCGTGGAAATATAGAATTGAACTGAAGTACAAGTTCAGGTTCTTGACATACGTAAAAGGTGGCCACCGTTCCGGCGGAGTCGCCGGGGACGAGCTTGAGCTGCATATCGAACTTGCCGTAGAGGTATTGATTCCTGGACTGGAATCCAGAGCCAGAATACTTGTCGAGGGAGAGCATGAGGAGCTGCCCGTCGTCGAGGATCTTGGCGCGGGCATCACCCCAAGTGATGTCTACGTCCTGATAGAAGTTACCAGCTAAAGCGATACTAGATAAACAGAGCGCCAAGAAGAAGCAAGCCGCAGTAGAAGCTCGAGAGGAGGCCATGGCTAAAGAGATCAGGCAATCGAGTACAATTCTTGGAGAAAGTTGGCTGCCTTGTCCCTATATGTAGGGAGGAGAAAACGAGGGACAAGGAAGATTCCCTGTGGGCCGGGGTTGTTCGTGACTAGATTGAGATGTCTCCAGGAGTCAGCACGCCACGGAAACTTGCTTTCGTTTGACTTCAGGAGAAAGGAGAAGGGTGGTGTCGAGTGCACCGACGGCCAACACCACAAACACCATGGGATAGTTTTCGATCACCAACCCCGACCCACTATTGGGTTGTGGTCGGTGATGTGTCGTCTCCTGCGCCTCAAAAGGGATTTCGATGATGATGGTGATCATGATGATATCAAGCAATGAGAAGGAAAGTGGATTACGTCTCCATCTGCAGCTTAGTGCAGAAGCAACTACGCGGTCAAGGATAGCAACGGGCGTAAACCCACTCCAAAAATAAGGATCCATTCCATTGTTATCGGATGTAGATTGGTGTTGTCAGTGCATGTAAAGTGGATGCAGATCAAACTAAACAATACAACCCCAAGAAGAATACGAAACTTCAATTCAGCATTATGTGTATCTTTCGGTGTACGTGTCCATTGTTTACTGAAGCTTACATTCCTGAGGCAACCCTTCAGGGAACCTCTGGAGATCAGCACAGTAGTCGTATACCAATCTTGGATCGATGCAAAGAATGATTTACAATCGAGAGACTTCGTGAGTAGGGCAAAAGCAGATCACTACTATTGTTGCGATTACTGTTGCTGTGAGGGCACAGGCGTTCCCTTCGTTCTCCTTAAATCCACCGACTGTTGGCAGATCAGCGAAGGCAACGAAAGCTACCGCGGTGAGGAAGATGAATGTGGCTGCAGCGGCGTTGGTCGCTGGCCGAAGACAAGGGCGAAGCTTCGCTTTTCTCACTGTTCTGATACCATGAAAAAAAGAATAGAAGATAAGAACAATTATTGAAGAAGCTTTATTGAAGAAATAAAAATGCTTCGATACATTAACATGTTTCCTCTCCTATTTATACAAATTAGGAGAAAGAATTTTCGTTAACAGAATAGAGGATTTTCCTCGTATAGTTGGGAAAATCTTATCTTCTATCACACAAAGGAACACCTCCACTCGCAAGTGTTGGTTGTGGCCTAGTCGTCGGCGTTCGATAGACTGGATGGAGTACAGCCTCATCGGTTGGTTCTTAGGGAACCCTACCCCTTTAGATTCGAGATTCTTTAAGTCTCTTATAGGAGTCCCGTCGACCGCGAGTCTGTCATGTATATCTGAGATTAAGTCATCGATTGCGTCGAAGTAGATTTATGTCAGAGCAAAGAAGGAGGTCTGCTGGGACTCGCATTACGTGACGTGGATTCCATATGATGGAGTAGGTGTGGAAGTCCTTGGAGGGGTCAAACCATAGGTAGAACTGCTGCTCTCTGTTACCCTTTCCTTGCGTGAACACATTGGTGTGGACTATGTAGGGGTCGCCGGAGAGGTTGCCGAGGAACTCGAAGTCGATCTCATCGTGTGTCGGCCCATGCGATGATAGCTTCACGTGGACTACACCAAGAAACCTTAGCTTTTCCACTCACACACACACACAAAAAAAAAAAAGGTACAGCTTACGATAGCCGAACAGCGACAGATGAATGCTTACGTAAAAGGCGGTGACCGTGCCGGCGGAGTCACCGGCGACAAGCTTGATCTGCATGTTGATACTACCGAAGAGGTATTCATCCTTGGACTGGAATCCAGACCCGGAAATCTTGTCCAGAGTGAGAGTTAGAAGCTTGCCGTCGTCGAGGATCTTTCCACGGCCGTCGCCCCATGTGATGTGGAAATCACGGTGCAAAGTTGCGACCAAGAGACGTGTCCAGAAGCAGAAGAGATGAAAGAGAAACAAGTAGAACTCCGACAGAAGAGCAGAGAAACATGGCGGTGTGTGTGTGTGTGGAGAGGAGATGCCTCAAGTTGGAATCAGGAAGCTGTTCTCAGGGCTCACTTATAAGCCGAGTCGAAGCACTTATTGGTGAACACGAAATAATTGGACCAACTCCCAAAGCAGAGTCCACTTAGATGGTAAGGCTGATGATGGTTGGCCTTCACCTGAATCAGATAGTTAGAGATGATAGCTATGTTCATATCAAGAAAAGAGAGCATAAAATTAGATCATAATTTTGAGTGGAATAAAATTGCTTTATGAATTGATGGAGATGAACCCTAACTATATTTAACTTTGCTCGATATTTTTACTACATCATCTACGCCAATGCCATTGCTCCCATTAGCTACGCGCATTCCCAATCAAATGGTGATATGTTGCATGAACTTGCAAAAGAAAGCAATGTTCTTGGATGAATCTATATTATGTGCTTGAATCACGTACATCAATTGATGAGGGTAATAATGACGATACGACGTGCCACGACGTCAGCCACGTCGGAACGACACTCTGCCCAAAAGAGGAAAATAATGCCGACGCGATATGCGCTGACGTCACCCGCTCTCAGACAACGATGAAGTCGTTGTCTAACCCAACACGCTTGGCCGAGGCAAAAGAGAACGACGATCGAGGCTCGCCCATGCCCTGCGGCAGTTCGGTTCTCCACGCGACGCCAACGGCAATGTCAGACGCCATTAGAGGTACGATCCTACTCCTGCGAGCAGACACATCAAGTAACACTAAACTCACCTATAAATACCCCCAAATTCTAAACAAAAAGAAAGAAAAAGGAGGGAGAGCACTTCTTCACCTAAAACCTCCTCCACATCCATTAACTTGATCGTTGAAGGGGTCGGGCCGAGCTTCCGACCCGACCTGTGTGCAGGTGTAAGGACGGGGTCGCTTCTTCCCGGCGCCGCGGAAAACCCTTCCTCTCGACGCAACGACCCGACCAGACCGCCTTAATCGGCCACCGGGACAATTTCGAGGGTCGCCGTATCAGATCCCCGTCATTCGGACCCCAACCAAGTCGCGTCGGCCCCGAGGCCACGGCATAAAGTTGTTTACACTAACATCAATAGTATGTGGAACGCAACAAGAGGAAGGAGGATGATAGTGGCTGAAGTTTGATAACTTCAGAAACTTTTTTTATCTCTCACTTCCATTTTTAAGTAATTGCCTGCTTGATTTGGCGACGTAACACAACATTTGTTTCTTCAAAAGAATTAATTATTTCATGTTGGGCACTGTCGTTTCTCATCATCTCTTTTGAGCTAATTATTATTCTGACACTTTCCAATTATATGCTTTAAATCTCTCTCAAAGTTTTCATGTTAAAGAAACTAGATTCCTATCTATACATACTTTCACGAGTTTCATAGTGCTTTGATTGCTTTTCCTTTTAATCGCTAAAGAGCTATAAAATAGAATCCATCAAGTTACCGAGTCCACAACTCAAACTTCTCATTGCAAGCCGAAACGAAAAGAGTTGCAGCATCAAATCATGAAACTAAGCTCGGTACAAGATTCAAGAGATACAAACTATTCAACGAGCCTCGTGTTAAATTGTTCTGCTGCTTCAGATCCTATCAAAGGATGTAAACAGTATGAGATCTTCTAAGCCCAACTAAAATAGTAGAAATGCCAAAACAAACACTGTTGATACCTTTAACTGATCTGCTACTTCAAATCCTATCGAAGGTCGTAAACAGTTTGTGAGCTTTTGCACCCCCCAAACTCAAAACAGTAGAAATGTCAAAACAAACACTGGAAATGGACACTGTTGATAAATTAATAAATGAAAGTTCCCATTATGATAGTATTAAACCACAAGAAATCTGAAAGACGCTTGTGAGCATGAGATTCATAGCTGTCATAACACTGTTTGTGTTGCAGAATGATGGTAATGGAAAATAGTGCATGCAGAATTAATCTGCACTGCAGAAGAAAACAGAAGAGATTCTTAAGCTCTCTTATAGTGCTCTTCGTTCCCTGATATCTTCTACCATCAGGTGGCTTTTTTACCTTTCAGGACTGTTTCTTGCATCCAATTCGAAAGAACTACGTCTTGACCTCCTATCAGTTGCCTTCTCGCTTGCCTCGGATATAAAAATAATTTACAGAAACATACGTGCTGTGACACAGAGAAAGCACACCAGATATTATCAGTGGAACTAAGAAAACAAAGAACCTATGCTATCCACATTTGCAAACTACGGAAAAAGTACACTTCTTACAGAACACTCCAGAAATTGAACAACAGATATCTGGTGTCATCTATTCTGATATTGTGCTAGTCATCGATGTTCTTCATATACTCCTTTGAGAGTCTGGAATTTGTAATCAAGTGCTGTTCCTTGACGAGAGAATGCCCTGATTCAAGCAATGCCTCGACTGATTGCTGTGTCCAATGACAATACCAGTTGAACTTTTAAGTGAGCACACATATATTTATACCAAATGGAGTGCTCCAATAAAATAAAAGCAATGCAGAGACATGGTTCAAGATTTACATTAAATAAAGCAGTCTGCATGTACTTACAAAATTCAAGGAAATTGAACCCACATCTAAAAATGGTTTTTAGTTAGTTTGGTTACTACATGGTATTTTATTATCTTACCCATGGAACTGATGGACCCAAGATAGGAATCCCTGTCCCATGGAGTTACACAGCCTGACACCACTGGCAAATTAAATTCCTTGTCACCATCTTGACTCATATACCCACCTTCTTTTTGTTACACAATCTTAATCTCAGCCATGAACCTTAAGCAAGAACAAGAAGAGTCCTCACAGGGTTGGTGGAACCAGCTTGGGTAGGAAAACATGATGGATGTTGATGAATTCACAAAGAGACCAATGGAGCTTCCTATTGATAACTGGATGGAGTGGCCGAGAATCTCATAAGGGGGGGTGCTAAGATCATCTTCTACCACCATACATTGCAGCACGATGTAACTCAGGGTTTGATGGCTGTCAATGAAAAATGATACAGAGAAGGGATACGAGAAGCTAGGATTGGGAAGCAAATGATATTTGCTATATGGAAAGATCTGAAAAGTGGATTCAGACCACCCCTGATTCGGGGCACAAGGTGATCTGGAAATTATGAGGGTCGATGCGGTTTATTATGGGATACGAGATTAACACATGGCATATGGAGGATCAATCAAATACTATTACCAACACACCATGAACATTTCAATGAAATCCAACCCCTTGCTTCTCTGTTACTGTAGTCCCTACAAAATCTATCAAACCCAACTTAAAAATTAGCAAGGTGACAATCCTTACAACAAAATTAATTTCAATAAAATCTGACCCCTCGCCTACCTATGACTGTAGAGGCCCTACTAAATCGATTAAACCAGCTGTAATATCAGTTGGGCGATGAGCATACTGGCCCTACAACATAAATTTGATTTCTTCAAAAGCTTAGTTCAGTCGTCTTTTTTTAATAACATCCATCAAAACTATTCTTATTATCATTATCATCAAAACTATTTTAATAACATCCATCCATAAAGTCGAGTCCGGTTCCGGATTCAATACTATTCTTATTATCATTATCATTTTCCTTCATCAGCAATATGCTCCATCTTTTCTCCACCTACTTCTATTCACTGAGGATAAGATATGTCAAAATCAACGTATACCATCTATTCAAAAAGTGTTTATAATCATGCATCTTAAATCAGCTCATTCTATTTGTCCGATGACATGTCTATTATTTGCAGGTTACAAACTACAATAATATGCCAAAAGGAAGGAACAAAACAAAAAAGACATGGCATCTTCAATATTGCACAAGTATGGCCCCTACTTATCTCACCTCAGTAGTTGGATATTTGATTTTTTTTTAAATTTTGAATCCACTCTTTCTTTATACCTCATATGAGCATGACTTGAACTAATATAAAACAAGAAGGGGGGATGAAATAAATTTTATATCAAAAAATTACATTTATCAAGTATCTTTTCTTAGCTATCACTAAAGAAACATTTTATAATAGTATATTACATATTAAATATCATATAATCAAACATATTAAATAGCATAATTATATGATACAAATTCTGCTATAACAACAGGAAACATATATTAGGACTTTTTAAAAAAAAATGCAGAGGCATTAAGAATCTGGTAAAAAATTAACTATAACATATGCAATCAAGCTTAGATTCAAATCTTTGCCAATTTATATACCGTAACACATGCAATTGTAACACTATCATCTATCATCAAGTTCTAACCATATCCAAGTTTAACAAAAGCTACATTTATGATGGACCATCGTAAGCTTCCAACTTCAAAAAAAGGGAGGGGTGGGGGAGAGAGGGAGAGAGAGAGAGGGGAGCAGGAAAAAAAAAAAAAGACAATGAGAAAAAAAAGCTAAACAAGTCATCAACATTCATCGAGAGTTAAAAAACAGAAGAAAACAAAAAAGGTGGCGTCGTACCAATAACAAATGGTGCAGTACAACATCAGTTACTTTATTGGGTGCTATGCTCAGTATTAATAGAACGAGCAAAATAGCCAGGTCAGCATCACAATTGACCATCAAACTGTTCGTATAGATAAGTACAAGAAGTTTAAAAAAATTTCCCTGAACCAATCTTATTTTACTGATGGATACACTATTATAACCAACATTTTCATCCATATTGAACCATGCAATTAAACTAGATCAATCAGAAACTAGTTCTTTGGCTGGTTTAGTTCTTTATTAGCAACCAGCAAAAGTAAAAACCATTGTTGATCTTGTGAAGTGGGGTTTGAACCTGTATTCTATCTAATCACTTTTACCCTGGTTAACAAAAAAAAATCAATTATATCTTAAATAAATAAATCGGATGAAAGTCTCTCACCCTAAGTAATAAACCCAAATAGTATTTACTATTTAGAAATAGAGATTATTTCCCAATGTCTTCTACCTGACAATTGTCTATAAAGCCATTTTCTCATAATAATTGGCCTAATGTACTCTTGCCATGGCAGGCATTGTAGCTTTTCAAAAAGGAGAGATATAGCCTTGTTGGCTTTCTCTATTTGGGTGCACAAGATGATGAATCTATATGTGAAGGGTTAATTTAATATAATGGGAGCTTGGCTTGATAAATAAATATAAATACACACACACACACACACACACACACACACACACACACACACATATATATAGAGAGAGAGAGAGAGCAAAAAGATACTAAAATCTGAAAAGAAAATTCTGTTTTTGTCAATATATTTAGTTGTCGACTTGAAGTAACTACTAACTTCTGTTGTACCAAATGAATTAAGCTACCAAGAAATTGGAATGATAATAGGTAACTAGGTAGTTCAAACACTAACCTTAGGAGGAACAAAAGTAGAAAGCTGCCCATCCTTCTTTCCTTTGAGAAGCTTTTCACCAAGTTTTTCATATCCACCGGTATCATTTACCCACTGTAATTTAATAGGAAATAGTAAAATGTATGCATTTTAGTAATGCAAAGATTACAAACAGTAAACAATGGTAACAAATCAGACTCAAAAATGAGGAAAAAAATAGAAGATATTTAATCAGATTAATGTGGTAACCACATATTTAGTGGTTTTAGAAAGTATTGAATAAAAAATTAACTGATGCTCAAAAAACAGGCAATCACTTAGTTAATTACAGAAAAGCTTATCTGAAAACATGAAGCCTACTTTTTGCGTTATTTGATTCCATATTGAAGCAAAATGACCTTTACTAAATTAGTCAATACTGATATCCAGTTTTAACTTAGGACTTCCATAACAAATGCAATCTTAGAAACTAGAGAATCGATGAAAGAGCACCAGTGGTGGACCTTAGCAACTATGAATTTTCCTTTCACAATTTGTAATCAAGATGAATTTGAAACATGACCTTGCTCTAGGTGATTAGTTTTAGTATAAGCTCGAGAAACTTGAAAAAGAGTACATGAGAAAAAGCTTGATGTTAGGTTACAAAAGCATGACAAGTTTTTCTCTTTCCTTTTGCCTTTTAAGTTGGTAGGGCCCCTGATGCTGGGAACATGTGCATAACATAAGATGATGTTCCAAAGAACATTTTAACTTAAATTGGTCAAATTTATGGCTAGTGATGTGCGATGTTGCAAACTTAAATTAGTCAAAATTTTAAAGTTCTTTCTGGTTAATTGTTTTAAGAATAACTGTAGCCAAGATTGAAGAAAGTTTGTGTTCGCATTTGCACCCCAGAACTCTCCAAACATAAAAAAAAAACAACATTTTAAATATGCGAGCAGTTCTTATTTTCTAAAGCAAAAGAAAATGATAGTGTCACAAATCATACTTTAATCTAGAATCCTAAATATTATCCACCCATGTTAATGCATCTGCCCATGCAATTGCTTACTCATTTATATATTTCTTGAATTACATTAAACTATGATATGACAATTCCACAATACACTTTCTATAAAGTGTAATTATACATGAATAGCTTTATAACATTTTAATTATCTTATAAAAATGTGGTTTATAGTAGGTAGGCAATACCGAATGATACCGCCTGATACGGGCGGTACGTACCGGTCCGATGACATACTGGTACGCGGACCGCCCGCTACCAGGCGGAACGAAAAAAATAATAAAATAATATATATATTTATATATATAAATATTTTAGAAAAAGGTGACATTCGACGATGTCGCCGAGGTGACACGACGTTGCCTTTTTCAGATTATATATATATACCGCTCGGTATACAGTTTCGTACCGTACCGAGCGAACGTCGAAATTCCGGTACGATATGAAATTGCAGACCGTCGGTTATGGTAGAAAATAATTGTAGATTCTCTCTCTTTTCTGAATCATTAAAAAAAATTCAAAGAACCTCACCAGCTGGGCACCTTCTATATTCCAGTCATATTGCCATCAATTGTTCATGCCTATCTTGATTAAGTTTGCCTCAAGTATACCTGCCTTCACATCAAAATTTTGTCTGTTGCTTATATGGTATGTTAGACATTAGTGTTGGTAGATACAATATTGTGACTGTATGCAACATACATGTATGACATGATAAGTCCTACTAAAAATTCATGCAAGATTGAGGCTTGCCCAAGGGTGTTTGTCCGGTTCCTCCAGCTCTGCAATCCTAATTCACTTTGCTTTTAGTTTTTTTGAGGATAGGATAGTTTACCCATCAAAACTGTCATTTTGTAATGTGTTTGTGCTGCAACAGTGGTCAGTCCATGTAAACTAGAACAACGTTCTACAAATCTGTGACCCTTGAAATCTATACAAACTGTTTCTATGTTCTAACCATTTCAAATGCTCCTACGCTAAAAAGTTGCATCAGCAACCAAAACTAGAATTTGTATCACTTTTTCCTAGTTTACTAAATAAGCATATCCTGTTGCAGAAGTTTGTGTTCCTGCACATTTAAGATGGATTGACACAAATCTTGATTTGATATGGGAGTTTACAGGGAAAAGAAACACAATGTTGTCGAATGTCCTGACTTAAAACACTGAAAAGTCTAATCTGTAACTATGTAAGAGGTAAATTTTGAAATTCCTCATCATTGGAAAGCTTGGTACATGACCCTGAGACAACACAAAATGTCGAGAACAAAACTTAGTTGGCTTCTTTATTTTGCTCATTTTGCTTTCAGTAATATATCTTCCAATTCTTACCTGAAAATGTTGATCTTACCAAAGTCAGTAAGAAGCCAACAAGTGCAGGATTTCAACAGCAATATTTAAACATACTTAGGTCTATGATTTTATGCTAAAAATGTAACTAAAAGAGCTATATTGGCATCTAGTAAAGGAAAACAATAGAACTTTATTATAAACAAAGAACACCTGCAAGATTGACTGATCATAAGTCTTTGACCTAAGTGCCCCATAAAAATCCAATGCTGCAAAAGGAACAAAATGATTTGATTAACACACTTACTTTAGAAAACTAGAAGTAGATAAACATAAACAAAAAAAACCACAAAATGCAGAGCAAGTATTAGCTCAAAGCCAATTATGTATCTGAAGGACTCCTAAGTGCCAGGATTCTTTTGACGCAAATTGTGAAGATAAGATAATATTTCAACTTTTCAAACAAGTTTGGATCAATGCCCTAGCTCAGACTGCATCATATATCATCCAAAATATTAGATTTTTCATATCTGCCCATTCAGAACTATACAAGCAATTATTGAACATTTGAAGAAATATGTCTCTGTATTTCTTTACACAAACAGAGACACACAGATACATACCCATATTCGACTTAAACCTTAAATGTGCATCATTTAAGTTTAAGCTCCTGCAATACGTAATATGTTAAAGCCCCATATATTTAAACAAATGCCAGTGTATAGCATGCCAAATAGAAACCGTTTCCAGAAACCATGGTGGTGGCAATAGTCTACTGGTATGCACTGAAGGATAAAAATAATAATGATCTTTAAAAAAGAAAAGAAATTATGAATCATATGAATCTTTCTTGACTAAAATGAATTCCGATATTTTTAAGGTACCTTTTATTCTAAGATTTCTTATAAGGACTATAGAAAAAGTAAAGGCAACTTAGAAATTAATAGCTAGAAAATTGACAGTGCCCCTCGTGCTTCAGAAATTGACTCATGCACTCACTTCCCACCACTTATGCTTGCATGACTCTAACACTGCTTATTGAGATATCTATGATTGGCTAGATATGGAAAGACATAATTATCCCAAAATAAACAGAAATAACCAGAGGAAATGATTGACAAACCCCAAATATGAAATTAGGATATAATGAATTTTTGTTCAAGGTTGATGTTCTTGCTGTTATAACCTTGCACTCATCACAACTAAGGAGGATCTAGATGTAGATACATCTTTGTTTAATGCAGCAAGACAAGTCAAAGATATCCAAGTCTAAGCACCATGCTTTCATTCAATCAAGTTAAGAACATCAAATTTCTGCCCTAGAGATGTAAAAAGTGTTTCTATCAAAGCTAGTCATTTCCCTTCATCCAGATTCTGCACAAGATGGGGAAATTCAAATTATAATTCCTAGCTGCATCAGATAATATAGCAATCAGCTATCCTTTTAGCTTCTAGGTTAATATCTCTTTAGCCTAATTTTTTCTTGGCCAGGTATTTACCAATTTTATACAATTGACATGAGATTGATAGACGCTTCAGGAGTTTATCCCATGAATTCTTCTACATTTCAAAATTTTCTTTATGGCAAATGATTAACTGATGAAAGTCAGTAGCCAAATGGATCATTTGAATTGATTTTCTCATACATATGTCATTTATAAAAACCAGTCTCAACTCTTGATGATGTATACCATGGATATATACTGAAGATAAAACATATAATGGATAATTCTGTAAATGTGTCTCAGTATTGTTGCTAGGTAAATGTAGTATGAACTTTATTTTGCCACAACTTCGACAAGAAAGATATTAAGAAAAATCAGAATAAAAATATGTGCTAACCTCTAAAACAAGCATAATAAGTAGAAATTGCTGTCACAAACTTCATAGGGAGATTCAGACAGTAATACTCTAGCACTAAGCAAATGCCTCAGGAAATGATGGTGCAATTATGCCAACGAAAATAAAGATACAAGAAAGAAAGAGCATTACTAAAAAGAATTAAAGTGAGAAACAAAGAACATTTAGTCCCCACCTCTTCCAACCCAAAGAAAGAATAACAAAAAGATAAGACACATTTTTTGCATTTCAGTGAAAATAGTTTCTGAGTGATAAATAAATGCAGAAACTCAGTGTCAAAGTGTTATCCTTGTTTTCTTTATTTTTTATTTTTAAGGTTGGTGAGCAACTACAGATACAAGTGGAGAAGTACCTTGGTTTGGAAATGTGTCTACGACTCTTATAACTTCATCACGGGTTATTCCATCCTTAGCATACATCTGGTGAACAATGTTAATTATATCTTCATGGTCTGGCTGCCTGTTTCAGCAGAATATATTCTGTATTGACATGTAACTAAAAGGCACATCAAATATTCATATTGAATAGTATTTAGACAAAAGCAGTGATCCAAAAAGAGGTCCTAAGACTAGCAAGGAGGAGGAAACTGAATGAGCATCATATCTACAATGTTGGTACTTGGTAGCAAAAATTTGACTGTTTCCATAACTAAACAAACATAATAAGAGTTTAATCAGTTTATAATTTCAATAGAGAAAGCATCACAATGTGTATGGCCTATAAAGTACATGAGCTATGTCTGATAATCATAGCTAGCAGGTCTCAGGGGCTTTAAGATGCCTTTGGCATATAGCATTGTTCAAGAAACCAGGCAACCAATACATGCCACCTGGTATATACCAGTCCACCCGTGGACCAGGACACAGATCGCCTGAAAAAGAGCAATCCAGTCCCCCCAACCCACCGGCATGGGTTGGATTTGGTACCTGAACCTGAAAACCTTGGTATATAGAGGATGCCTAGATGATTTCTTTATAGTTTCAATAAAGTTACAAAATTGTGATGGTGCATCCTAGCAAGGAATCAATATTTCCCTTGCGAAACCTTCCAAAACATTTTCCAGAGAATTTGCTGGCCATAACTCAACAAAGCATGTGCCACACACTGCAATTTGCCAGGAAACATAGTGGGTACATGTTCTACTCGTATGCTAGTTCACGCAGTTGGAGCTAGTACATGCCTATACATACTTGCAGCATGCAGCAAATATTCAAGCATGTGCCAGGCCACACACAGCAAATACTTGCAGCATGCAGCCTATACATCCTTGACACTGTAAACAACAAACCTTTTTTTGGGATAAAGCAGCAGGGCTGCAATCTTATTTCATAAGAAAAGTGAAATAAATTACAGGAAAAGAGAAAAGGAAAGATAAACAAGAAAATATGAAATAAAAATAATTATGAAAGGAAAACCATAAAAAGGTTGCCATAAATTCATCAATAATAATAATAATAATAATAATAATAATAATAATAATAATAAATCCCTTAGCACAGAGAGCCCTTAAAAAGCTGGCAAACCATAAAAGGTTATGCTTGATGTTGCAGGAGAGACCATCTGGGGCACCCTTGAACATTATGTTATTCCTTTCCTTCCAAATAGCCTAGCATATCAAACATTAGCAGTATAAGACCATATCCAAAATATCTTTTTCATAAGAGCCATGCAGAAAGTATTTGGCTTTTGGTGTACAAGTGGAGTTCCCAGAGAATCTGATGAAAGTGACATTTAACATCTCCCAAGTTGAAAAATCTATAAAAGGATATGACCTCGAATTTGAAGACCATCTCTTAGCAGTAGAATCCCATGTGAAATAATTTTCTCCTATCCCAAGAAAAGCTGGAGAGGGCTGAGGGCAAAGAGATAAGATTATAGTAGGTCTTGATGTTATAGGTTTCATGGAAGGCAAATATCAAGATTATGGAAAAGATAGGTGAGGCAGGGAAAAGCAAGCTCCAGTTGAAAATAGATGATGAGTTGCAGAAACATTTAGTGGCCATGATACCCTTGTAAATGAGAGCAAAGGACTCCTGAAATGATGGTCGCCTCAATGAGGCAGCCATCATCTGATGTTTTCAGGGCATAAGCACTTATCAAAGAGGGATGACATCAAGTAAGGGATTTCCACCACTATTTGCCAAGAAGGGACTTGTAAAAGTCTGAAAGATCAATAACCCTTAAGAAGTAGCATATTACATAATCAAACCAAAATCATAGTAGTAGAAATGCTTGCTGACTCTAAATCAATATAAAACCCTAAAGCAGCTTCAAGTTGCTAACTTCTAATGAAACATGTTCCTTTAATGCAAGAAGAATATCTTAAAATGCAACAGAAATATTAACATCTCTTGGACACTTCTGTATGGTAGAAAGGTAGAAGAAATTAAAAGAGAAATTTCATATGAGAGGAGGCACTTACCAGTAGAACTTCTCCATCCTTCCATCACGAATCAAAGGAGCATAGAGTGTAGAAAAATCATTGCCAGTTACAATAATAGGAACTCTATGCACAACATCTGATTCTCTCCACTTCTGTCCAATGCTTACTCTGGTAGGATTATCTGACAAGTTCATCAGGGTTCCAACAACTATTTGGTTGTTGACGGTCATTTGTGTGTTTCCTAGGTAGAAAGAAACAATAATGTCATTTAAGTGTTGTTAAACAATAGAATACAAGTAACGATACAAGTAATGATACAAGTAATGCGATTTCTATAAGCAAGCTGTAAGCAGACAGTTTATTATAAATTAAAACCTTTTGGACAAGCAGGTCACTCTGAAAACAAGAACCTCAGTTAGAACAACACATTTTGCACATCATAGCTAATAAATAAGATACCTTAATCTAATTTTATGTTATGAACTGACCAAATTCACAAACAAAAACAGATAAATGACTGACCAAATCTCCCCAGCCCAGCATCAATGTCATTAATCATCAAACAGCTCATTTTTCCCTGTTTATGTAAGAAACAAATCATTAAACAAGTATAATGAATTCTCTTGAAAGTTACAAACATCTCTCAGATAGAAAAATATGGAAATAGAAGATAGCAAAATATGATTCGCCTTACCAGTCGGTATCGACGTACCGACCAGCTGTCGGTACGGTATATACCAAAATGTGCTGAGTCATACTGAGCATACTAACACATAGCACATGGGAATGTACCAATATACCACCCATACCGGTCCCCTATCGGATCGGTATGTACCACCCGCACTAAGCGGTACGGCAAACCTTGAGTAAAATAAAGCAATTTCAACTAGACATTGTGAATACATGATATGAAACAGAAATTTCTACATACAATATTAGTCAGTAGACAGTTCAAATTCTGTTCTATACCTGTAATATAAATATCCAGACTGTACATACAAGCTTCAGAAAAAAATCGATGGCTTTTGAGCATTTTATGGTAATAATTTAATTACCTAGCATAACTTAGTTCACTAAAGGGACCTCAACCATAATATAAGGAAGGGATGCACCAAATAGAGGGTGACAGTAAGGAAGAAATCAATTCAGCTTCTTTGTCCAGTATTCTACTGAAAGCCTAGGGTAATTTTGAATGAGATTAATCTCTGGATATGGTATATGTAAAAATTCCTAAACTGCAAAAATGAGTGAGAAACTAGAAAATATTACGTAAATGAAACAAAAACATAGAAGCAGTAAAAGTTTATAATGACTCTGACTTGGTTTTGAATCACTTGAGAAGCTGTTCTGTATCGGTCACGTATGAGCCTGCCTGGTTCTCCTGCAAAGAAAATGAACATCATTTATGGAAAAGCAATCATACATTTTTATAATAAAGACAAGTTTTAAACCTCGGATCCATTAAAAAATAAGTTATTTCTCAGTTCAAAAATTCTTATTTCAGAGAACTAATTTCAAAATAGCATACAATTAGGGCATATTGTTAGACTTATCTATTGGAACTTGAAACATATCTGGCCTACATTTTTAGATGGCATACACAAAAAAGAAAAGGACAAATCCAATCTACTGACTTCATATAACCACTTGGTTAGGAAAGGCATCATATAACATAATTATAATATAGAAATGATAATTAACATATGAAAAGGCTGCTTCACATAAGAAAAAGGACAAATCCAGGCTACTGACTTCATATAACCATTTGATTAGGAAAGGCATCGTATAACAGAATTATAATACAGAAATGATAATTAACATATGAAAAGGCTGCTTACTGAGTTTGCATGAAGAAAAATATACTGCTTAGAATAAATTAAGAGAACAGTGATGCATGGTCACCTGCCCTCTCTGATTCTAGCTCACCAGCAGACATAATGACTGGTTCAATACCCATTGCACGAAAAATAAGTTCGGTTTGAAATGTTTTCCCTTGACCTTTTCCACCCCATATACCTAGAAAATTAAATGTTTGTATCAGAATTAACAAAGACAATAGCAGTAGCTGGCTAGCTGCATGTTCTCAACACAAGCAATTGATACCTTATGAGACAATAGAAAGGAACTTGTGACTTTGTGGTGTTAAAATTAAATAATCAACATCATAAAGTTAAGGATGGTCCACTACGTGAGGCTTCCACCAATATGGGATTAAAAAAAAAAAGAGAAATAATGCATCTGGTTGCAACTGAACTGGAACAAAAGCCAAAGAAATATCATTGAAGTATGTTGACATGAAAATTCTTAGTAAAATAGAAGTATATGTTATTCAGAAATATTCAAGTAAATCCTACAACAAAAAGATTTAAGAAAGAAGAATAAGATGAAGGTATGCAAAAATCCTTTATCGGATACTTGGGCTGCATTGACTTTGATAAGCTCTGAACATAATTATCAACTTTCAAATATTCAGATTTCCTAAATGAAATTTTAGACAGCAGAGGCATAAGACTAGCCCTCAAAGGCTTACTGGCGATTAAGATATACCATTTGATAAAGCTTTGTAAGCTCATAAACCAAGAGCTAAACACAACACACAATCTTATACAACTCCAGAGAAAATGTAAAAGAAGGGTTAATTTTATAATATTAAATTTTAATTACACTTGGATGACAACTAAAACCAGATCATTCAAATGAAAGTCAAAACCCAGAAAAAGGCATACTGGCATAACACTACAAATAGAAAACAATACATTAGAATTGATACTTGCTATCCATGATTTCTCTTAGAACATATATTAATTCAAAGAGCAAAATGTAGTCTCATGCTGCTGAGTTATATTTCGGGTCAATACGAACTCTTTCAATGATGTCAACGATATACACAACCAAAATTCAGAGGTGATGTGTTGAACACGATCAAAATCTAGATCCAAATCTAGCTTGCAAAAGTTGCAAGCTTGTGTAGATTTTCTCCTTTCTGTTTCTAATATAAGAATAGTCACAATCCACGGAACTTGCCTTGATGCTTATTCTAACATATTAAATAAGACACCTAGATCACCAACCCAGATAAACAAGCAGGCATCTTGTCACTATGAAATCTAAATTGTGTTTTAACAAATTACAAGTTAGGAAGTGGGTTTTGTCTAAGAAAATTTTAATTATTTTTGCACATGAAATTTTTGTGAATATAAAATTTAATCAGTTTCCACACATGAAATTATACAACACGAAAAAAAGCTTTAACTTTTACCTAGTATTAAAGGAACCTTAACATTGAGTAGATGGGCAATGTAGTTCTTCACAATGTGGCAAGCTGCAAAAGATGAAAGACATTCATGAAAGACAAACTTAAAACCGGAACTGGTTATTTTGATGACAAAGTATCAAATACATCTGATAAAGGCAACAAATATAGAAAGTCTAATTATTTTTTAATTCAGGCTTATGTATTGAAATAATTAAATCCATGAATAACTCAACATTTAGTCAAATGAGAATACCAGAATTAATCATGAACCATTACATGAAACACCCAAAAACTCAGTCACTGGAAAGATATTGAGAAACTAAGATCTTTTAAATGTTGATCACTAATATAATATACTTACCACAGCCATAACTTACTAGCATTATTTAACCCAAACGAGTAGGTAGGTTTCTGCAACTATCCTTGGATGGATCTGAAACATATGTCCCATCTTTTATATTCTTATTATGAGTTCTATAGAAGGAGACTATTAAAATACTCGAAATTGTTAGACTTAGATCATTATTAGCTTTCAACTAACTCTTTCCTACATAGCAGCTAAAAGACTGGCCACCATAAATAAAGAACTCTTTAGGCTTTTGAGTGCACATTGGTGTGTCCTTGTTCATTACACATGAAAGTTTCAGTTCTTGTGTCTTTTACAGAAAATAGCTTTTCGTTTGCTCCAATAAGATATATTTTCAAATGAAAGACTTTGCAAACCAAAAGAAGTCCTTATCATTTGTGCCTGGTCCACCAAGAGAAAAATGAGAACTTAGAAGTCAACAATTCTAAAAAGGTATACATGAAACTATCTATTTCCATTCTATATTAAAGGAATCCAACATACTCTGTCAGCATATGGCACATTGTCCATTCTGAATCCAACACACTCTGTCATCATTCTTCTTTGTATTGAAGCTTGAAAGCTTATTTATCCAATGTGATTGATGACTATACATCATCGCTTATCTATGTGCTACATTTTCTGTCATAAAGTGCAAGGACTTCACTAACAAAAATATTGAAACATAATCATTGATCTTGCTCATGGATAGCTGGAGTATCAACACATGTTCTTTTCCCCTAAGGCATTAAAAAATTCGTGATAGCAGTTAAATTCAAGATCTTAACAACAATGTCACAGCCCTTTGCATCTTTTACCAATATGGTCATACAGCAAGCTGATAATTATAATAGGCGGCTTGCCTTTTGTTTCTTTAGATTTAATATGTTAAAAATAAGAATACAATAAATATTTAGAAATTTAATAAATATTCCTTTCACTTATTTAAACTAAAGATAGAATTCATTTACTTCAATTGAGCTAACAGTTTGCTTTCTGGTTTCCAGAATAATACCTTGAATTGACAATGAAGTTGAGCAATCTTACAGGCTAATTTTATTCCTAGAGTCCTATGAAATTTTGTTTGTTTTGATTGCAAGAAATTGCAGTGATTATTTACAAGCGAATTGTACTAGTATTCTTAATACAGTGGCTGTAGTCAGTTGCTATTGAACAAGAAGGGAAAATGCCAGTAAATTTTCCAACACCCAAATGGAGACCATGAACTTTCAAAAAGAGAAAACTAGAAAAACCTTTTTTTTCTCTCTTTTTTTTCTCCTCTTTCAACAACATCCAGATAGTACTTTTCTTTCACTTCCAAACTAGAAGGCTAATACTGCAATGACATATAGTACAGCATCCAATGAAAATTCCATCTCAATGTCTATTTTCATGAATTTATTCCAATTGCATTCTTTAACTCCAGCTGAAAAATAAATTGATTATGTCCTGAATTAGTAATTATAGTTTTCAAATCATCGCTACGTACTTAATTTGTTACAATTTTAAGAAGACAATTTAGTCATCTATGTAGTTGAACATAGAGACAAGTCAAAAGCATAGTTAAAATAGATAGAAAAATTCCTTAAAAGATAATAGTTCATATAAGTTTCTTGATTATAGCAAGATCATTAAAGTGGAGAGCTAGATATGTATAATCAGATCCTTTAGATCAAAAGGGAAAATTATCCAATACAGATACAATGCCCTCTATATTTACAAATCTGAACATTGTGCAGTTAGAAAACAGCAATACAAAAAGTTAATGTTGCAAAAAAGAGTATATTAAGATGGATTTATGAGGTTACTAAAAGAATAAGTAAGAATTTACATACATGACTAACTGAGGCAGTTCTAACTTTCAATCAAGAATAAAAAGAAAGCAAACTATTTAAGATTGTCTTAATATGTTCTAAATGCATCGGAGTGAAGTGAGTCTATTCCAAATAGTGATGCAAGGAGTACAAAAAAAGATAATACTTTAACTGGCACTATTATGCTGAGCATAACTCAATAACAAGAGAACATCTATGTAGATGACCCCAATATCAATAGGAACCAGAGTTCAGAAGTAGCACCAGTTTATAGTCATATCAATGGGAACCACTCGAGTTGTCTTGGTTCCAGTCATATCAATAGGAACTAGAGTTCAGAAGTAGTACTAGTTTATTGCCAAGACAACAATAGCCTCTTCTAAGGTTCCAAAAAATGGTCGAACCTAAAAAAAGGCTATTGCCAATGCAGGTCATCTCGGGGGCGTTAATTGACATAGCATTACCCATAAAAACAAAGAGATGCCTTACCCCTAAAAGCAAAGAGATTATTTCCATGACTTGACCTTAGTCACCCAAAAAGTTGTAAAGGAGCAACCTTACCATCATACCAAGGCTTGTTGTCAACTTTCTATAATTTACCTAAATGATTTTAATTTATGATCTAATCCTTAGAAGCTCAAAGTATAAGCACCCACCAAATATCAATTTTATTTACCAAGTATACATAATAAGACCTTGGTTTTCTAGTGCAATACTAACCATATTTCTGCAAACCAACTCCTTTACTATCAGGCAATAGAAGGAAAAGATGAACCACTTGGAAAAAAAGTTCAACTTACCAAAATAATGGGAAATAAGACAAGATGCATTTTTACTTTCATATCCTACTGAACTAGAATTGTCATTCTAAAACAGAAAGGAACAAAGCATCAATCAAATAGGCAAAAATGCTTAAAGGCAATATTATTTTCATGAAAAGTAAACAAAAAAAAACTTCTTCTTGTATTTTAATTCAAAAAAAAATTGCAAGTGTCTAGAAGTACATGATGCAAGGAAATGGTCCAACTGCTCCTTTTTTTTTCCGCAGAATGACGCCTCATTAAATTTCAAGAAAGGCAAATTCATAGCAAAGTTTCATAGAGCTTACCAACTTTATCCTGTAGAATAGGACAACACACTGTCAAGTATAGTGTTCAAATTTTAAAATTGAAAGAAATATCAAAAATGACATTATTGGTAAGAGATATGCCATACTAAAATTGTGCAAAGAAAATGAAAAGCAAGAGCAAACTTTAAGTATTTCAAGAAATAAATGGCACAAGTATGCTTAACTTTTCAATTCAACAGAACAGCATTAAAGAAAGCAACAGCATAGAAATAGATTCCTTGATATGTGCAAGCTTAAGAGTGGATTAGCTTGATAGCTTGTATACTAGATAAAAGTGACAAAATTATAGGCTCATACTGCCACACATGCTAGATAACTTTTACATGATAGCGCTGACAATATATTCGAATTTGATTTTATATGTCATGGATCTTTAGTTGTGACAACATCTACTTTTTTTTTTATGTTTATACCGTATCAAACAACCTAGTGCAACGAAATTAAAGAACAGGTACGGAGTCAGAAATGGAGACCAACCAAGAAGGCAGGTGCTATGTAGTAATCGCCCTGGAGGTACTCGAACGACCTCGTTGCCTTCTGCCTGTAATCAAAGACGATATCCGCTGCGAAAACCAATCAAGCAAGTAACATCGAATCAGTAGAAACAATCTGAAACCAAATCCAAAAGAAAGAGAAGGAACAAAGACGGCGATCATCGGACAGAGGGACGCACAGTCCTTTCCAAGGAAGTTCCCGACGAAGAGGTCGTCGATCACGCCCTGCCGAGCGCCGACGGCGATGTTCATATTGTCGGCCTCCTGGCCGAGGCGGTAGAGGTAGTCTTTCCCCTCCGAATCCTTGGACTCCCAGGACGACTGCTCCGAGATCCTCTTCGCCTCATCGGGGCAGGAGGAGCATTGGAGGCGGGTGGAGTAAGACGTCCACCGCCGCCTCTTCTCGCAGTTCACGGGGTTAAGGATAGGAATAGGGATCGAAGGCGAGGAGAAGGGGAGGAGGGCAGAGTGGAAGCTGCTGACGACCGCCATACGATATGGATGGAGGACAAGGGGCCGTCCCTTTTTATTTATAACCCTCGAAAAATATACACGAAAAAGGATTTCTTTCCCCACTTTTTTTTTGCTCCAATTATATGATTTCATTCGACCGTTGGGATCGGTTTCCGGTTCGCCTTAGATGCACGTGCAAGATTGTTCTGACTGCATTTTGCATTTTGTAGCAGTTGTTGGCACGGGTAAAACACGTGGAGGAATGGCGGGTTTGTCTTCGACGGTTGGAATGGCGGGTATGATGTCATTATAACAGATTAATTAAGAGGGTAAATAAGAGCAGACAGTGATCATTATTGCTCGAATAATATTTACAATAAAAAGTAAAATGATATGATTTATGTCTTAAAAGCATCAAATTTATCTTCGAAACTCTTTCACATGCAGACCAATCAATTATTATTTGCTCACAAGTGCCAAAAACACAAAACTGGGGAAAAAACAATGCACATAAGTGAACAACCACAACAACAACAATAACAAGACAACAGTAGCAAAACATACTCTTCTCTCTTCTTGCTCTATGAGATCATCCAGAACGAACTTTGTCCTGTCTATCTATGCATAAGACTCATGGAGGCTGGTGGAAACATTTCGGCTTTGTCTTGTTGGAAGCATAAATCAACCAACTGTTTCACGAATACTTCGACTTTCTTTCACGTCAAGCAGCGGTCATGTTCAGAGCTTTTGGTCTTGCAAATATCAGCACATAGACCCTTCATGGACAACTGTAACCTTCGTTTCTGGATTCATTCAGCAAGCAAAATGCCGGTCAGACAACTTCCGATGATTAGAACACTACAGAGATATGTTGGAGGAGTCATCAACGGGGAAGAAAGATGATATATGTTGCTAACAGCTACTAAATATATCTGATATAAATGCAAGAAACAAGTCTTGCGAAAACAGAATAAAATGCCTCTAATGCTAGGGATGAAATCAATCATCCTTCAAGCTTTTTGATAAGGTTAGATACAACCAGAAAGAATTTCATATGAAGGACCAAGCATTCCAGAACACATTAAAAGAATAGATTGATATATCTGTACAAACTCCGAGTACTTAAGATGATGGCAATTGAAGTTGAGGACCAAGGTTAATAATTAACAAAAAAATATTGTTGTACTACAACTAGAGCTATGCATGGCAGAAGTATCTTAGATTAATAGATAACGACATTACCAAAACTAAAATAAAAGTTCAAAATTCAAGCTAGCTTTATGAACTTTTCAATGTCCATCTCTACATCTGATGCTTCGATTTCTACATCTTGGAGGACCCCTCACCCAAAACACAACTGGTGGGCATTACTTGAGTTCCATTTTGCTAATATCTGAACCACCAAAAATATTGCTAATCATCTTAGTATCACCATCTTCTTGGCATGAGAAAAGACCATCTATTTTGCTACTATTTTCATGCTTCATTTGCCTCTTGTCAATATTGAAAAGCACATTTAGACATATCTGGACAACATTCATAGCTGAAGTGGAACACAATAAGCATGTTTTGAATAATTTTTTTCTTGTGCAAACAATGAGAAACACAATGTCTAAGGCTATGATGTTCAGATAATCTTGCCTTACCAGCAGAGTATACTATACTTATCAAAATTATGCATATTCAGTATAGATCATAGACATGATGCTTAAATTTGTTCCATTTTCCCCTTATTTTCTAACCTCTTTTTTCAGTTTACAGGTCTTTCTGATGGTTTCTAATTTGTTTTCTACTGGCACAATCTTCCAATATATGTCCAGGTTGAACCAATCTACTAGCAGGACATCCTATTTTCCAATCACGATCAAAATCTCATTGAATTTAGGAGAATCACTAACAATGCAACCATTAAATAGCATGCTAAGAGATTTGTAGGTTTCTATTAAACATTCATGCTCAATTACAAGGTCACCCTGATTAAATTAGTGTAACTTTACTGTTTCTGAGAAAATAATAAGCATCTTAAACATGATTTAATCTCAAGAATCAACTTCTTTTGCAGCTAGGTGGCAACAGTATGCCATGCCAGCCTTTGCAGATTTTGTAATTTAATTAAGTTGCTGCACCTGAGTCTGAGACTCTCAGCTACTCTTTCTTATCTGAAAACTCTTACTGATGTTCTAGAAGTTGCTCAAGAAGTCAAACTCAGTTTGTTCTTAGTGTCAAAGAGTCTATAAGCTCTCAAAACCCTTTAAGCATCTTATGTTGCATGTTACAAGAAGTTGGAAACAAGCTCAAATCACCTTGCCAAAGTAAGAAGTTATCATTCAACAAACAGATCTTGCTGTTTAAAGTTTTCTCAAGGAGGGAAGTACATCAGATATAACTAAACAGACTGAACACAATATGCAATTATGTATTTAAAAACAGCAAGTACAATACAGAACCAAGATGTGTTTTATTAAACCAAAAACATGTACAATCCTGCAGGTGTTACAATACGATGTTGTGTCTCTCATTTCCAACTCCACATATTGAGCAGTATTTAAGACTATATTCTATCTCCTGTTGCCCCAATCTCAACTCACCCATTCCCTCTGTGACGTTAAGAGGGTCATTTGACAAGCCCACAAAAGAAACATTTGACAGTTTCCCAAGTACATGAGAGAGCGTAATATGAAACATGAAAAAGAAAAGATAATTAATGAGACTCTTGCCTGCCACACCTAAAAGATAGAATGGTATACATCATGCATCACTGGTAATGTCAAGAGAGTATATAAAACATAAACATCTATGTGACAGAAGCTTCCAATATCAATGTCTTGATAAGTCAACTATGAAGTGCATCTAGGATGTCAGTTTAATCAGTTTTGGAGGCACCTGAAAACACCCTAAATATCAGAAGTGAATTAGACAGAGGCATAGATCTCTGCATCACACAATAGAACCTATTTAACACTTCTGAAGTATGATTTAAGTTTTGCAAGAACAGTCTAACTGTTTTTGAATCTAGGATGCCAGGCAGTAAGTCCAAATAGCAGGTCCACTGTTAAGGTGACAGGAAAGGCAAAGGATCCATAGGATTTACATCCTACTCAAAAGGGTGCATACCACATACCTCGGTAGTAAATGAGAATAAAATTAGAAACAAAAATCCAAAAGAAGGGCAGCGAAGTGCGCTACTCATATAAAGGTACTTGTCAGACCACCACAATGGCAAACCCTACAAATAGACAAATGCATATGCTCATATACCAAAATACCATAAAGAGTTACTCGTCAGACAACAATTATGCAAGCTACATGGACAGACAAATACAAATACTCACACACCATGGTGTATACAATAACACTGAGGAAGCTAGATAACCTTGTTGGATATGACAAGGATGACCTAGCAAGATCCTCTAATTGTTGTCATTCTATGTACACAGAGAAGCAAACTGTAAGCTAGAAATAATTCACACGTTAAGTCAGATGTTGAGGAAGGTGCCTCAGAATTTCTACCAATTGTATTGGAAAAGCTCCAAGGGAATTTACAGTATAAGATATATGATATTATACAATAGCGCAATGGAAGAATTGTAAAGGTCTGAATTGGAAAAAGGAAAAAAAAAAAGACACTTGCTGGAGCTTCCTTAAATGCATGCCATTGGAAAAAAATTTATCCATCAAATTATTTGCTACAGGTAAATTAGTTGCTTTTTCTGAAGTAATTTGCCACATAGTTCTTTAGACTCCACTTCATATTCCATCATTGTATCAAAATATGAAACAATTTGTTAAATTTTAAATCTAAAAGTTTTTTTAAAGTAGTAATTCAGACAATACATAGCAAATAAGAGAAATGGTCATTATGCTCACAAAATACTACAGTATAATTACACCCACCAAAAGGTCACCACAAGGAATAAGTGTAATAGGAATCAGAGACACAGTTACATTGAACAATATTCCTATGGGCCACCAAACAATTAGAAGTCAAATTTATAAATAAAAAGACCCAGAAAATGATATTTCAAAATGAGCAGAAAGTTAACCGATTGATAGTACGTAGATCTAAACTTGAAAACTTACAGAAGTGATTGTATAAGATACAGAAGAAATCATGCAGAATTTTCCTCAATCTCCATGATGCAAATTGCATAACAGCTTGAGACTCTGGTGGTGATACTGTGAGAAAGAGGCCACCTCCTTAAAAATGCTTACATATAATAAGTGAGACAAACAGGATGGTTTCTTTCCTTTGGACAGGCTGATATAAGGATTTTTAATTGTTTGAGATGATCCTTAGCATGATCTTACAGAATCCTTCTAGGCTGATCCTGGAAGAAGCTTACAAGGGACATCTTTTAACCAAGAAGCTCAAATAGGTTTCTCACAATCCCAAATAGACTGGTGCTCAACAGCAGAGCCCATCCAAGTGCCAAAGGTTCCTGCAAACCAGCAATGGTTTCATACTTTCTACTATTCCTCAAATGAGCGAACATATATTTTCTCAAGCAGCATGGGCCAATCCTCCCCAAGTTGCTGCGGCTTTACCTCCATTGCTACCTTAAAATCTTGCATACTCAACACATGCGTGCCTTCCAAACCAACATTACCATGCATTTGGCTTCCTACGCAAATACCATTCTCAGGTTGTGCAAAAGGAAGGAGATTGGAAAATGGCTGCTTTGTTGATTCATGCCTTGTTCTTACTCCTACTAGCTCAATGCATGAACCAATCAACCGCTTCAAGTACACATCCAACCCATTGTTCAGCAAGTTGGCACAGTCCATTGTCACTCCTTCCAAGCCCAGTGCTTTTGCTATTTTTTCCATTCGTTTTTTCAATACCTCAGTATGATACAGTTCACTAGAATCATAACTCCTATGAAACCTATCAATGTTAGCACTACCTGATGATAATGGCGTTCTTGCCCCGCCAACACTTGCTGAACAGAAAGGAATTCCAAGTGGAGCCTGAAGAGGACCTTTAAGGGAAGCCATTTTATTCCAGTGTTCTATGTCCTCCCTTTGGTCTACAGAAACTACTTCAGCAAGAACTGGGCTATGTACGGCACCCTGGTCGTGCACAGGTGTTTCATCTATCCTTGCTCTCTTTGTTGGCTGCTTGTGAGGCCCACACTGTTGTTGTTGTATTAATCTCTGCAAGTCACTTGAGTTCAGATCATCATGCTGACCTAAAGCTGCTGTGTTATATGGTATCGATGACAGCTGAGCAGACACTTCTGCCCTCCCATTTGGTCCAAGGGGACTGGGGCAGTCTTTAACCCGGTGATTATCGGTCCTACTCCTGATCTTGTGGGGCAACCTCGGCAAGACATCACCATTCAACACAATTCCAGTTGGCATTTGGGCAAATTTGTCATGATGAACAGGTGGTGGAGCTTTAGCCCTTGAGGCATTCTGAAGGATAGAACTGATGAGTTGATTGTGGAAGGGGAGATTCTCATGGCCGAGTGTCAAAATGCAGAGTTTGCTAAACTCACGCTTGCTCAGCTTCTGCGACAGCAAATCGTTCAGATAGCTGAAGTAGCGCTGTGCTCGCTCCTGGCCGAGACGCTTGGTTATCAGCGATTTAAGGTCACCAAGGTTAGTCCGGGAATGCTTCATAATTGGCGGCAGCGGCGGCTGCGGCTGCAGCATTGGCGGCTGTGGCATGTCTCAATGAATACTTGTCATCGAATCAATCACCAAATTAAGAAGATTAAACCATCCTCTGCCACTCTATGATTTAGTCAGGAATAGGGTTTGCACCTTCTTCTAGATAGAACATGAGCTATACAAAGTGGCCAACTCATCAGCAACAGCAATGCAGGCGGAAATCTCATCTTCCACAACCAAAACCCTCAATCACAAAAAGATCGAGAAACCGCAGCCGCAGAGATGAAAACTTGAAACCGGAATTCTTGCATAGAGAAGCCAAAAACCCTAAAGCACAGGATCAAGATCCATTTAGCAGCAGCCATCTCGGAAAGCTTTCATTGCGCACCGGAACACCAAGAAATAACCAGGCAGCGATCCGCTCCCCTGCCTGCGGTCAGAGGACCCACAACTGATCGAAGCGGATTTCAACGGGTTTCCCGCCCGGATCAAAGCGAGATAAGTAGAGAAAGAAGAAGACGAATGGAGAAAAGAAAGTAATCCGTGCGAGGACGATGACGAGGATGAGGAAAGAAAAAGAGAAGGAGAAAATTGAAGCTGACCTCTTCCCAAGCTCGGAACACTAGCGGACGTCGCCTCGATTCAGCCGGCGGCGCATGTAGCTCCGGTTCTCCTCCTCCTCCTCCTCCTCCTCCTCTCTCTCTCTCTCTCTCGCTCTCTACCCCTCTTAAGCGCTTTTGCTCGTCTTCTCTTTGCTTCGCTCTCCACGTCTTCTTCTTCTTCTACTCCTTCGTTATCCTGGAGGTGAATCGGGTAGATCAAGCAGGAAAAAAAAAATCTCTTTTTTCTTTTCTTCTCTCTTCGACTCACCTCTCGCTCCCGCAGCTCTTTTTCTTTTCTTTTTCGCTATTTTTTTTCCCTTTGCTCGATCGATTTTGGGACTTCGGCAAACATATGGGTGTTGTTTGGTTGCTTGGATATACAGGACATGCTCATTTGACGCCACAACTTACCGTTGTATCATTGGAGGCACCATTGGGGCCCGGAAGATGAACCGTAGGAAAGAGAAGAGCTGTGGTGAGAGTGAGGGTAGGAATGTTTTGTGGGCGGAGGTGAGAGAGTTGAATGAGCATACCACCATATATGATTGATGGAGGGCGAGTTTGACCCAGTTGGTTGACCGGAGGCTAAAGCAAAGCCTTCTTGGGTTTGGTTGGGTTGGCGAGCCACCCGAGTGTGAAAAGGTCGGGCTTACAAGTCAAAAGTCAAAAGTCAACGCCTCGGACTTGAGAGTCGCGATACAAATACCAATTTGAATTCCGATACAAATTAACATTTATTTCTACATCTAATATGGATTCCTATTTAAACATTTTTAATATCTTAGCCTTATTCTTTAACCATTAAGAAATATATCTCCCATTAAATTAATAGGACGCTCCCGTACGACTCCGATCCCATCACCTCTTCTTTTACCATACCGGTTACTCGAGCGGCACTGAATCACCCTCGGAAAGAATCATGGGTGACGTCGTCTCATACAGTCGTGACAAATCAGATCATCCATGAAATCTTCGTCGATGGTTCGGTGCAGATAAATTGTTTTATCCAGACTGATTCACCCTTGAAATATCATCAGGGTGACGTCGTCTCCTACGTTCCTGAAACTCCACATCATCCGGAATAGGTTCCAGGGTTGGTTCGGTCCAGCTAACTTTCTCCTTCCGGGGTACGCTCGTCAATTTCAGCCCTCCGTCAGGAAATATACTTCTCCGAGTTACCTTCGGAATCCACCGACTATGATTTATGTGACCCGAAGCGGGCCCGTGCTGGCCCCATTTTCGTCTCCAATAAAAAGGTAGATAGGGCGTGGGGTACCGGTGATCTGGTTAGAGAAGATGTTGCTCTTCGTGAACGGAAGGGGTCCCGCATGAGTTGGTATTCTTTAAGACGGCGGCAGGTTCTTCCTTCGGATTTGGATACCTTGCGACCTAAGGCTCTTTCCCCTTTAAATACTGTAGCTCGAGCACGAATTGGCTCTCAGAACCCGCAACGATCAAGATACCTCAGATCAACTTTTCATCGTTTCGTCGGAGCGGATCGGAGGACCTTCGGTACCTTTCCTTCCTGCTTGGGTCTTCTCGTAGTTGTCGTGGATCTGTGGTTTCATGTGTACGCTGAACCTAATGAAGCCAAGATTGAGTCTTCATGGATTTCTGTGATGATGTTTCTTCTCTTCCTTTTGCTAATTTAGTATTTAGGGAAGATTTTGAGGGCTACTGATCTGTAAATTGTTGTAGGGTGAAGTTGGCCTCAAAATTTCGTGTTTTTTTTTCCCGTGTTTGAAATGTCATTAGCGTAAGTTCAGTTTATCAAATTAACCGGGAGTCGCTGATTTTGGCGGGGAGATCGGTTGATTTAGTGGAATTTATTGCGAAAGGGTTTGATTTGCTGTTTCAGTGGGAACTCCATTTATGGTAGAAGTGCTCGTTGACTTATTATTACCATCCCTTGGTGTGAAAATATATCAACAGGCGCTCCGGTACCCAATATTTTGGCGATATGCTGCAGGATGTGGTATTGTATCATTTGGATAACCTCGGGTACTAAAGAATTGGACTTGGTCGATAAAGAACTAGACTTGGTTGGCTTCAATTGATATAGCCTAATAGTTGGTCCATGAGTTGTCTACTATCTCTATCTTATGAATAGTGAGTAATTCATCGCCAATCTCCACATTCGATTTTCCTTGCAATTGGAATGGTTCAGTTGGTATGATGGCTAGTGGAAGTGTATATATGACTTCAGTCATAACAAGTATCCATCTGATCCAAGCACAAAAGTAAATTCCAAAATGTGCTGCCAGTCAAGAGAATTCTACAAGCAACTCTAGTGAATATGACAGTGTATTTTCTTTAGTAAAGAAAAACTTAATGTTGCATGATGAAATCAATCCCCACTAGCACATGCAGTTTCTAGATGTATCAGTTGATAATATGATCATGCAGCATCCATGGTTTTTCTGAATCAATGAAGCCTGGTTTGAGGCTGAGATTGTAAAAGAATGGGTTGATGATGAAAATAATGTTTGATTGAAATAATTTTGCTTTTCTAGATGGGACGTGTAGAACAATCAATACATGATTAATTTCATTGAAATTATATCAATCACAAATATTTCTCTTGATGTTTAGGTTCGATTGGGTTATTTTTCGTCATCTTGTTGACTCAAATGAGGATCTGACCTGGGCCTTTTCTTGTGTTCATGCATTCAATGTCTGAGGATTTGAGGTGCCAGCAGCTCTGGCCGGTACATACCGGATAGTATTAGTGTATCATGTGTCGGTATACCGGTACATACCAATGTTCCGGAAAGGAAGAAATCGAAGAAGAAGAAGGGTTGGTGTAGAAAGAGGAAGGAGGAGTAAGAGGAAGAGGAAGAGGATAAGAAGCATAAGCGACTAGGGCAAAGTCAGTGCGCAGTGGTGGTGTGCAGTGAGGTCTCAACATGCGTGGGGAGCGGAGGTCGCGTTAAGGATAGGTTGTGATGTGCAACATGCGTGAGAAGCGGCCGCGGTGTGCGTTTGAAACGATCAGGGTTAGAAAAGTTTCCTGTTTATATGAGTGTGCTGGACCGTCCGAAACAAGAGAGGTCCATGTATCATTGACTCGTGGACTGGTACATGCCACCTGTTTTGTACTGGTCCGAGCAAAACCATTCTATGCTCAAAATACTGAGAGTAAACATCTAAAATGGGCTTGGAGGGTCTCCTTTGATGCTCAAGTCAGAGTCAGATTTGGAGTCTGGGAGAGCTAAGGAGTTTGAATGCTAAGGAGTCAGATTTGGATTTATTTCTCTTTCAATATAGACCATGAACAGACCATGTTGATGTGAAAGATGCTTTCTCAATCTCCTTCCATTTTGGTTGATTTCCACCCAACCATTACCAACCTCATTTGTAACCCAGGTTCTACAATCATAGTTCAGTCGGGGATTAGGTCAGGTTGAGTCATAGGCAAATAATGAGCATCCCAATTTGGGTATGAGATTCAGTAGTCCAACATAGCCTGCCTGGCTTTCATCCCTATATGCATCAAGTAAAAATGCAGGGCAAATCATGCCATGTTTGAGGCAAATAAAAGTGCAGTTTAGAATAAAGATCGTTCGTGACCTATGTTAATTAATGTCATTCGATAGCTAAACTAGCAAAACCCTTCTTTTGCTGTTTCTGAAATTCCATTATTAAGTTATGAGCATTCCATTTAGCATTTCTGCATTCAAAATATATTCTTTTGTTAAGAAGGTTACTCAACTCAGTATACCATAATATTATTATTATTTGTTTGGAGTAATTACTTTGTTCTCGAAGAAGTCTATTTTAGTTAATTGTTCAATAAACTACTTTGATCTTTAAAAGAAAAAACTGCATCAAGAGTGGGTGTTGTTTACTTGATTCACTAGTACAGAGGACTGCGGCTGATTTTTTAGATTTAATTTTCTGAATGATTATGTTTAACTCACAAAACTATGCATTTGTTGTATGCATGGTGAATTGCTGTCATGGATTCTTGTGGAAAACGTGGACCTATGGTCTGCATTGAAGTACTCTTGTATCCAATTGATTTAGAATATTTTTGTTGAATGATTATCTCCAAGATTTATGTTTCTTTTTATAAATGAGGTTGTTCGAAAAGAAAGCTTTCTTACGAGATCCAGTGTCGATCATTGAAAAGTAGATGCTTTCAATCAAGGATACCATCATAATCTAGATGAGAGCTCACATTTTCTTGAAGCAAAGGGAGACATACCAATGCCATCCACTTGTGTGCTTCTACTGTTAAATTTGTTGCAGTAAGAATGAGCAAAAAACTGTAGAAGAGATCAGGCACTAATTCTTGTTTGGAGACAATATGGAATACGCACTAGAAGGCATTTGATGCGGTCAATTTTAGTCATTCTATTTAGTTAGATCACAAATTGACTATCCGATGTGCTAATCGCCTGAGAGCTCAATGCTCCAATCGTTAAAGTTCTAAACTGTCAAGATAATAAAATTGATCATGGGCAATGTGCTTGATGGGATCCTCCTTCAACACCCAAGTCAGAGTTTGATTTGGAGAAATAATTGAAAAATGAATCGAGGATAATCTCTTTTTCTACTAGGCCTCCTCAATGGTTGTTCAACCACTAGGAGTAGTCTGTTCTAAGATTGTGGTGGTTGTTGGAATCAAGGTTTGCAATTTCGTTCTATACCGAAGTATCAACTCAGTTCTATACGGTACAGTACGACTTCTTCTCCCCGCACGGATGAGGAGAAGTCGCCAACGACAACGAGGCCTCGTCGCCTCAGACGAGGAGGAGACGACATCGCATTTGCGGTGTCCGGCGAGGGTGGGCGGCGACGAATCGGGATCATTGACGGAGAGCGGCATCGGATCTCTAAGTTCTCCCTTTTCTTCCCCCTCTTCTTCCTTCTCTCTCAGCTAATATTGCCCGGTAGCGGGCGGCGACGGTCGAAATCGACCGTTACCGATCGATTTTGAGCGGTAATGGGGAGGAAACAACCCCAATCGATGGTACCATCCGGTAGCGGGTGGTCCGCGTACCGGTCTACTGGCGAACTGGTACATATCGCCCTACCGGGCGGTATCATTCGAAATTAAAATCCTTGGTTGGAATCACCAATACCTGATTGATTGAGGTAAGTGACATATATTCCTGGTATTGCATTAGTGTGTGAAATTGTCAATGATGTGTCATATGGTGTTGGTATTGGTTGGTTGGTTGGAAGTGCCCATATGCATCCCATCATCATTAATGTTTATTGCAATGGTAATGTGGCCACCAAGTTTTCACTTTGATGGGACCATTATAGCCTTTGGATCTGCATCTTCTCTAGCAAGGTGCTCATATAGTTGTAGTATCTTTGTCATAGGGATTTTGAGCTTGAGCTGGTTCATCTAGAGGTGAACTCTTTTTGTCTTTGCATGCTTTTACCATTTAATCTTTGAACTAGAATGTTTGTTTGAAACTTCATCTTGGGAGTTTTAGTTTGAACATAACAAAAGGCATTTTGGGGTATTTTGTGGGAGGGTCATAGAGAATGATGTGTTTTTCTTAGTTTCACTCGAGGTTTAAAATATTGTATGTAGGGATCGAGACCAAATGATATTTACTGGCCCAGGCCTGATCCTACATACGGATCAGCTCTTATTAAGCATTTTTTCAATTTATTATATATTAAGCATACCAGCCATAAAGTATGAATACTGCAAACCAACTGACTTTTTTCTTTTCATTCTTAACTAAAATGCTCTCATTTATTTCCTAAACCATCTACCCTTATTAGGAAATTTAATGAATTAGGGTTTCCTATCTTAATACCCTAAATAAGGTATTATTTATTTTTAATTAAATTAAGAACGAAAATACAAAGCCCTCCTTTTTTCCTATTTATACATGGTGACTCCTCTCCTTTTCATCCACCTTGGTTGGGGAAAGAGTTCAATCACAGGAAAGGATTGTGAGAGTTTTTGGCTTTAGGTAGGTTCATAATTATATTTTGTTTTTCTTGATTTTATTAGATAGTATATAGGGATTTCAGATATTATGGATAATCTTTTTTATTAAAATTATTATTGATACCTACATGCTAAACCTAATGGTAGATTGTTTATGAATTTAAGTAGAATACATAATTAGAATTCCAAAGACCCATGCTTGTGTGGTTGTTAAACTTTGTGCATGTGATTTGTATTTTCTGAAATTAATATGATTTGATAGTTTATTCATCCTTGCAAATTTAATTTTAGAAAATAATATTGATGAATTGATTTATATTTTTGTATCTATTTCATCAATTAATTATGTACAAAAAAATATTGAATTTAATCTGAATTTATTAGTAATTAATCATTATTTGTTCCTTTTAAAAAAAGAGAAAAAGATAAAAATAGGATTCAAGGTCTGATTGGACCAGATCTGCACAGCGGAGCTTGGTGTGGCCTAGCACGGTGCGGATTGTGGCTCGGTGCATTCCAGCAATTGGCCAAATCGGGCTGAACCTATATTAGACTGGTTGGGGCCTATTAAGCTTGGTTCAGTTATATTGGATTTAATTCTGGCCAGTTCAGTCTAATAGCGAACTGGTTCAAACCAATAGAGCCCTTGTTCATGGCAAATCAGATCGACTCTGATCATTTGAGCCTTGGTTCATGCAAAATCAAATTGGTTCAAACCAATTGACTCAGGTCATACCATATCTTCAAACTAATTGAGCCCCTAGGATGTGTTGAAAAATCGAAATAAACCAATTGAAAAATCCAAAAATCGATTTTTGGATAACCTGCATGAACCGACCGGGTTACATAAAATGGATCTGGTTTTATAATATAAAAAATATTTAAATATCCTTAACTTTATTATTTGTTTAAGGGGGTATTTATGTCAGTCATGAAATTAGGGTCAACGTGACAATTAAATTAGGGTTAGCCTTAAAATATCAAGATGATACTCTCAATCTTGATGACTTGGATTTTAATGATGATGAAGAAATTAAAATTGCTAATTTTATGAGGAAATAAAAATAATACACAGCTTTCATTATCAACAACTATTACAAAGAAAAGAGATGTTAAGAACAAACAAGTATCTTTGAACTATTTGCCTTTTGCTTTATCATACTTAGAGGAAGAAATATGATGAATTAAATGCTATAGTTCTCCAACTTTGTCATGCTATACTGCTTAAATGCTGTATTTATTTTCTACAGGTAAGTGAAGTCATTTAAATAGCTGTGATGGCAGCAAGAACCATTAGAAGGCGGCTCCATCATGGAGATATTGACGGGAAGAGAAATGAGTATTCAGACGCATCAGGATTTGATGCCCTAAATGAACCTTTGCTTGGGAATAACAACCATGGAGGCCACTATAACTATAAGGTAATTCTTGTAAACAAATTTATGCCCTAAATGAACCTTTGCTTGAGAATAACCGCCATGCAGGCCACTATAACTATAAAGTAATTCTTGTAAAAATTTCTAACCTATGGTAGTGCATGAATATAAATCGGATGACAAATTCCTATTGTTAGCTTTTATGCTTAACAAGTTATTTATATTTTGAAGGGATGTGATGATGGAGGTGAACAAGATTGGGATGACAAAAAGAAGGAAATAAACCTTCACTGGACACGTCTTTTCGCCAATTTGATTGCTCAATGGTCTCAGTGGTTAGGTATTGCCTTTGATATGCCCATCAGTAGCATTTGCCTGTTTATATTAGGTCTCTAGCAAACCGATGTTTCAATTATGTTGTTTTCATGCATGATCCATGGTATATGTTTTTATTAATATAGCTGGAACTTATTTAGCATTTATTGTTTAACTAAATATTTGTCAGATTCTGTAATAAATATTTTTGTTAAATTTATGACAATTGTTTTATTTAATTTTGTCCATGTGATTGAGTCATGTATTTATCATGAGCGGTCACTAGAATGCCTTTATGGCATGCAAGAAAAGAAGATTTGAGCAGTATATGCTTCTAAATTGTATTATGAAAGAATAATTAAAAGTATCACCAGTTACCAGTGATTAAGAGGATTGCCAAGTCAATTAGCCGTAGTGCAAAAATGATAAACAAGAACCAACTAGGCTTTAGCAAAACGGTCAATATCCCTCCTCAGTTAGAAGAGGTTCTTAAGTGTCTTTGGAAGGCATTTCCTAGGTACATGGTATGAACAATTCTACCTGGATGAAGTCCAAATTCTTTTAAAAGAAATAAGCATGATAAAATTTTACATGTTATTCTAAAATTTTATTAACATTGAGATGTGTGTTGAACACGGAAAGAGTGGGAGGTCAAAGACCAAAATAACCCAAAAATGGAATCTTTCCATCTCTTTGCTTTGGAAACAAGGAAATGAAGTGTGGCTCCTCCATTTCTGCATTTTAATGGTCTTTGTTTTTCGGAGACTCTTTTGTCCATGTGTTAGGATTTTTAATATTCTTGAATCAGATCATTTTTTTTCTGGATAAAGATAAACTTCATGTTGTCTTTTCGTATCATCTTCTTCACATAACATCTTGTGATGAAGCCTCAAGATGATATTTTTCTGCAAACACAATTACTCAAATGTTATGGAAAATATTAAACTAGAATGCTGAGTATCGGAAAAGCATATGCATTTTTGTGGTTGAAATGCACAAACTGCAAACTACATACATCTTGCTTTGTGATGTTTGACAAAAAATTAATGAGCAAACTTTAATAATCACTTACAAGCTGGAAAGTTGTCTGTCAAATTTTGAGATATCGTCTCTGCAATGCATGTGGATCTTTTCCTCTTTTTCAAATAAGAAATTGAAGCTTCTTTATAGAGTTAATGGAATGAATACTCATGTGGACAGTCAAAAAATTGGGCTTCAGAAACTTCTATTTGATGTTATGCAAACCTGAAGCCCCTTTTACCTTAAGTATTTTGTGCTCATGGTTTTCAACCATATGTGTGTGTCCATTGTATCCAAGTTAACATATTTGACATCTATGTATACTACCCGAAAATAATCAGCTTATATTTCCTGAAGTCTTCTGGATCTTTGGAATAGTATCTATTTTTATTTTTGTTTTCCCCATCTTAATCTTCGCGTACCTAATTTGTGCAGTTTATGCCACTGGTATTTATTTTCTTGCAGCAAATATTATCCTTGGCTCTGGGTCGGTTTTAGGAAGGTTCTTACCTATCTCTTCCATCGCTTCAAATGAACAAGATGACCCAATTTGTCTTTGTCCCTTGCAGGTAAAGTGAAGACCTTTTTTTTTTGTTAATTTTGTGGAATCTTTATTAGATTAACTGGTTAATGGAGAGCATTCATTTGTCTTAGCATCATTAAAATTCATGTTAGTTGACATCTCTTATATTTTTATAGTATTTTGAAACTTAGAATCGGTTTGATGTCTGTTAAACGTTGATTTGTTTTGGGTAATTTGTGTAGTTGTTTGTGCACAAGGTCCTGGACATAGTATCACTCAAGGTTTCAAATATTGGTCAGACCAGTTTATCGGTCCAATCAAGGACCTGGACCGGACCATATTTCTTGCTACCAGTCATTATTCACTTTTTAATTTTTTTCAGTGCTGCCAGTATACCTGTATCCTACCAGTCTGAGAAGGTCTCAAAACCAGTACAGGACCAACATTTTAAACCTTAATGTTACCATTGTTGTTTGAGATTGTCACTGTTGCATCATTGCCATGCATTATTCCAATCCACAAGAACCACAGTTATATCAATAAGATAAACAGTCTATACTTTGTTGGGTGGCATTGAGTTTTTTTTCCCAACTCTTATCGTGTGCAATAGCTTCAGATATTCCTTGTGCCTCGCTGTACCTGCTGCGGTCAGCATTACAGATCTTTCCCATGTCATATGCACTTGCATGACAACTTTAAGTGGTATATGTGTAATATTTTTGAATAAAAAATTATTTGATCTTTTTTCTTGAATTTTTTGCACTTCTCATTTTTAACACCGTCTCCCTATGCAAAAATTCTCCACCACATCTATAAGTTTCAAAATTTGGTGAGGGAACGAAAGAAAAGACATGCATGCAAAATGGCTCTTCTTTCCGCCTCTTCTAATTTTCATATGCAAGCTCTTGTGAACCTTGGATATGGTAATGTTTTCTTCTGTATGAAGGAAAAAGTTGACACAGCATCCATTAACTATTACGCCATACTTCCTTTGCTTTTGCCCTGCAGAAGTTAGTAATGGCTTTCTAATGCTTGTTCCCTGCATTTCTTTTGTACCCTATCCTGCAGGAAGAACGTTACAGAAATTTGCGGCTGAGGGTGGAGGTCCAGTTTGATGGTTCTCGATTGGATCATCAAGTATGTACTGCTTGCATTTGCCTGTGATTCTCTGTACTTTTGGCCATATATGGAGACCATTTTTACCTTTTTGGTGTCCTCATGATTTTCTGTATTCTTTATCAGAACTCTCATCATGGAGCAAACCTGATTTGAAATCACCGAAAGCTAACATAGAATTATGCTGCAGGATGCCCTGAAACAGCTATGGCGTCTAGCCTATCCTGATCGAGAAATTCCTCCTCTTAAATCTGAATTATGGAAGGAAATGGGTTGGCAAGGGTGTGACCCATCAACAGATTTCAGGTAGTGTGGAACCAAGTAATTGAAGTGCTTATGTTCAGATTACCTTGAGAATATAAAATTGAAGTGCTTGACAGTCATAATGCTTAAATCTTTTCTCAGGGGTGGTGGATATATATCATTGGAAAACCTCATCTTTTTTGCCAAAAACTACCCGGTAGCTAACTTTTGACTGATATTATGTTTCGAGATGTAATAGTCACTTATCTTTTGTCATATTGTCAAATCCATCCAGCATATATCTCAAACCTTTGGTTATTTGATGCAGAATTCATTCCAAACTCTGTTGCACAAAACAGAAGGTAGAAGGGCTGATTGGGAATATCCTTTTGCCGTAGCCGGTGTTAATATATCATTCATGTTGATACAGATGCTAGACTTGCAATCAGGTAACTTATGAACTATTTTCTGGGAGCAGCTAATGATTGACCTAGGTATTAACGCTGCCTGTCTATTCTTTCAGTCTTGCCATCTTCTAAAGCAGGAGTTCGGTTCCTGGAACTGCTTGGGGAAGATGAAAAAGCATTTGATAACCTCTACTGCATAGCTTTTCGCATGCTGGATGCTCAGTGGCTCGCAAAGCGTGCATCTTATATGGAGTTTAATGTAATTGCCAGTCTCTCTTTCTGTCTCTATTGGATACTGATCCACTGTGATTTTTGCCTTCTGATTCCGGTTGTCTTATTTTGCTCCAGGAGGTTTTGAAGTCTACAAGAAATCAGTTGGAGCGTGAACTTGCCTTGGAAGACATCACCTGTGTAAAGGACTTGCCGGCTTACAACATGTTGATGTGATGATCTTTCCCTCAAATTGTTTCTCTCTTTGGGGTTATTCTCTATGGCAATGCAACATTGAACGATGACCATCCTTCTGGTAACCTCTGAAATGTATATAGCAAAGACTAATGCAAATAAGATAATGGTGCTGATTACAAGGATGAGCTCTTTTCATCTTTTGTTGAATCAGCAAGACTAAACTGTTTATAATGATTTCTTTGCGACATGTTCTTCTGTTTGGGGATAAAAGTCACTACTGTGCACATGATTGTTGTCTGTAAAGCTTAACAGAATTGATTGTGAGATATCAAGTCTGCAATTACAGCATTACTAGAGGAGATTTAGACAATAAACCATGTCTCAAAGCAGTAGTTTTATTGCTTTAGGAAATACAATCAAGCAGCCAATTGGGACGCTGTTGGAGGACGGATTATGAAAACCGACATGTTTTGGAAGGAACATTTTTCTTTGGATCTTACATCCATTTTTTTGTAATAACTTTAATAGATTGTTTTTGTGATTATTTGAAAAGCTAATATAAGTTTTGTTTTCCTGAAAAAGAAAATTACATGGAAGATATGTAGTGACTAAAGATCTCCTTGCTTTGTCGTTTTGATGTTTCATGGAGGTTAATATTCCTGGTCATGGAGACAAAAAATAGATTTTGATCTTAGTAGAGTACAACTTTGTTTCCTAACTTTGTTAACTGTTAATGGTTTGAGGCTTGATTTTTCTTGTGAACAAGTGATTGACTATTGTAAAATGAAAGGATGTTTGTGACATTTGGACCAGTGGATGAGCACATCAAATTCTCAGTGTTTGCTAGAGATAGCTAGATGTCAAGCAAGCTCACTAATTCTCCACAAATCTCTGGATTATGAGATTGCTCATTTCATCTCTGGCCTGATCAAGAGCACAAGTATCACTGTTAGGGCTCTGATGATGTAGTGGAATGCAAGAAAGGTAGTCAATTGGAGTGTGAAGGAGATGATGATGAGCATCTTGCTCGAGAGAAGAATGACCTCCTTATACAACAATTTGTTGTTGTCAGTGATGTGCCTGATGTGATTGATGGCCTTTTGTCCATCGATAAAGAACATATTTGTGGCAACAAGAAGGCAACACGCAGAGCCATGCCTGGAGGAACAAAGTACAGCAAAAGCTAATGATAGAAGTGGTTCTCTTCTCTCCATGTTGGTTCATTCCTTTCTCACAACTGCACTTCTCCAAGGAGAGAGGCAAAGCAAAAGCAAGCAAGAGAAACATAGACTTGTAACAACATTTCACTCTCTGAATCGGATAGACAGGTCTTCCTCTTCATTTGAGGATCAACCGTGGACTGCTACCTCACCATTTCCATGAAGCCATCAGCTATGCGATGGATGCGGTGCTTCTAAACCGTGTAATGCTGTTGGATGGTGTCGATGTCGAGCCCCTTCAACTTGACCACTGATTCCACATGACCTTTGAGAGTGTGCAGCTCTCTCAGCCTGGCAAAGCAACCAAGAAGCGCAAGATCAAGATCAATTCCTCTTGTTCATTGGCTTCTATTCACAGAGATGATAGCAGCTGATGGCACATTACCTCGCGATCTCAGCTCGTCGTTTGGCCTTCTCAGCGATCTCGGAGAGCTCGCGGTAGCTGCTCTTGTCGGAGAACAGGTTTGTCGTCTCAGGAGGCTGGAGGCCGTGCAGTGTTCGCTGAGCGATTGCCCACTGAGCTTCCCTCTCCTCTCTTCCATAATCCTTCTTCGTGGTGAAGGCAGTCTGACACAGCAAACAGATTAGCAGCAATCGACGAGATGATCATAAACTTGATATAGGTGAGGGATGAGCTCTACCCTCCGCTCAAACAGGGAGTCCCAGGCCCTTCCACTTAGAATGTAGCGTATCGAGAACTTAATCCAGTCGAGTGGGATGAAGGTGATGAAGCTGTAGAGCCATATGATTCCCGCCCATCCCCACCCACAGCCTTTGATCTTTGCAAAGCCCCAGTTGGCGTAAACAGCTATCAGAGTCGCAACCTGGTGATTCAAAATGATGATGATTCTTTCATGATTCTTGATCGCCACGAAGAACTTGTCCGGAGGGAATTGGGGAGACGTACCAGTTGAGCTACCACAAAGGCACCGCACAGTAGAAGTCCGGGGCGCTCGAGGAAGGACCAACTGCGAGAGCGGGTGACAAAGATGAGGGCCTGGCTGATGATGCTGACTTGCAGGTACAGAGCCGCCATCATCTCGTGGTCTCTCTCTCTCAGCGATCGAACATGGAACTTATCCTGCATCATCAACACCCATGGTGCAGTCATGGAGGAAACCTCGTTGTAACAGTCACACTGTGCCACGAATCAACATACCGAGAAGAAGTCGGTCTCTTTCATGGCCCAGAAGAAGAGGACAGTCACCAAGGCCAAGTAAGTCCCCAGCACGATGCCGGTGGCAAATATCTCTTTCAGCTTCCAACTGTCCGGCAATGGAGATGGCTTCACACGGTCTTTGGAGATCGTCATGATGGTTCCTATTTCTCGATCACGGATTCAGATTAGAAGCTATGAGTTGCAAACGTAAAAGTACATAGATTTTAGCAGGTGAGAGTGGTCACCGTCATTCAGTATGGCAATGATCAGAACCATGAAGGGGGAGAAGTCGAATTTCCATATCAGCGCAATAAGCATGAAACCAAGCTGCGGAGGTTTGAAGTGAAAGCTTTTAGCGGAATCGAAAATTCCTACTTTTGAGATCATCCAAAACACTGGTTTAGAACTTACTACGATACGAATGGTAATCGAAACAGCGTAGATCTGTCAGTGTGCAGAGAATGAGGAGGATGGATTATATTAGCCAGCTGAAACCGAAACAAGAGTCGAAGGAATGGATGAATTGATCTTTACCGTATAGTTCTTCATCCTCTGGAAGATGGCTCTGCTGGTGAGAACTGCACTGATGATGACACTGAGGCCAGGTTCAGTAAGAACGATGTCGGAAGCACTTCTCGCTGCATCCGTGGCATCAGAAACCGCGATACCTATGTCGGCCTTCTTCAGGGCCGGAGCATCGTTCACGCCGTCTCCTGTCATCCCACATATGTGCTTCCTTTCTTGCAACTTCCTCACGATTTCGTACTTGTGCTCTGTTCCAAGGAACACCCCCACATGACACTGCTACGGTGCTGCAGAGATCACACAAGTAGTGGTTCGGAGTGCATGCGGCAGGAGCAAACCTGGGAAAACTCCTGCGAATCCATCAGCCTTCTCGATCAATTCGTCCACCGGAAGTGCAGCGAGCGTCTCATCCTTGTGCTGCCCGAGCAGTGAAGAGGAAGGATACATGTTGGTGCCCATCCCAAGCCTTCGCCCTGTCTCCTTCGCTATCGCTAGTTGATCACCTGAAGAGCACACGAATCTTTCAGTCGAAGGTAAGCGTGGGGATCATGGTGCTCGAGAGATGGAGAGCAAACGAGTCCCAAGTACCAGTGATCATCTTCACGTTGACGCCGAGGTCGAGAGCCTTCCGAATGGTCTCGGCGCTGTCATGCCTCGGGGGATCGAAGAGAGGCAGTAAGCCGACGAATTGCCATGGGCCACCATGACTCTCTTTGCTCCTCTCAGGGACTTCCTGCAACATAAGCATAATGATAATTGATGCAAGGAACAAGGAGAATGCGGTCGTAGCAAGAGAAGTCACAGACCTGTCTTGCCACGCCCAACGATCGAAGCCCGCGTTCTGCGAACTTGTCGATCACCGTGTGAACTCTTTTCCGGACGTCCTCCTTGCAGTTGCAGAGGTTCATGATCTGCATCGGTTGACCACACAAAGTCAGCAAACCATTCATGAACTCGGCTCGAAGTAGATTCAGGTGACAGAGCAGGACCTGCTCGGGAGCGCCTTTGCTGACACGATTCCAATTGCCGTCCTCATCAACGTAAGTCAGCGCTGTTCTCTTGTCAACAGGATTGAAGGGAAAGAAGTGCACTTCCCGGATTCCTGCTCTTGCCTGTGAAGCACCAAGAGATGAACTTGTGTTATGCGTTCAGGTGATATCCATAGTTCCAAGTAGGTGAAGAAAGCTGCTGTACCTCCTTAGGGTCTGAAAGCATGCCGACCATGGCAGCATCGATGGCGTCCTGATTCTCCGTCCTCGACGCTCTCGCGGCCAGTAAGACCACGTGATCTTTATCGACACCTTTCGCGAACACTTCGATCAGGCTTTTGTCGACGCTGAGCTTGTTGAGGGTGAGCGTGCCGGTTTTGTCGCTGCAGAGGACATCCATTCCAGCCATTTCCTCGATGGCAGTCATCCTCTTTGTGATGGCGCCTTGTTGGGACAGCTTATGCGACCCGATGGCCATGGTGACGGACAAGACGGTGGGCATGGCGATCGGAATTCCTCCGATCAGGAGGACCAACAGGTTGTCGATCCCATCCCGGTACGACCTGTGCTGGATCGGGTACATGACGATGATCTCGATGACGATGCCGATCGCGATGGAGCAGATGCAGAAGTTTCCGATGGATGTCAGGACCTTTTGGAAGTGGCCGACCTGGTTGGTGCTGTCCACCAGGTGAGCTGCCTTGCCGAAGAAGGAGTGCACGCCGGTGGCAATGACGACGGCCTCAATCTCGCCTTGCTTGCAAGTTGAACCGGAGTACACCTCGTCCCCGGGATTCTTCGTGACGGGGAGGGATTCTCCGGTGAGAGCAGACTGATCGATCTTCAACGGGTCTCCCTCGAGCAGGCGCGCGTCGGCCGGGATGATATCTCCCAGTTTGATGCTGATGATGTCTCCGGGCACCAGAATTGCGGCGTCCTGCTCGCACCAGGTGCCATCTCTGAGCACCTAAAGCCAAGAACCAGGTGCGGTGACCGTAAGAAACAGGATTCATCTTCCAAGGATCTCAATCTCGAGGCTTCTTCAGCCACCTCTGACCTTTGTTTTCGGAGCCAGACGAGCCATGAGAGCAGCGGCGGCGTTCCCGGCGTTGTTCTCTTCGATGAAGGATATGGTGGAGTTGATGACCAGCAGAATGACAATTCCGACGAAGTCTTCCCAGTCCGGGGGCTTCCCTCCACCGTTGGCGAGGGCAATGGCCATGATGGCGGCCATCTCCATGACCCACGAGAGGGGGTTCCACATGAACCCGAGAAACTTGAGGACTTTGCTTTCCTGTTACAGCCACATCCATGGA